ATTATGTTACCCAGATGGATGTCACTTAAGAATGTTTCGAAAATAAACATTGCCATGGTCAAAATGTATGCATTTGCAGTCTACGAAAATAGGGCACGACATTCGGCAATCACCTAACATCGCCTCCACCCACACGTCTCAGCGTCCCTTTCGCCTATGCTAAGGCTTTTGATCAGACACCTCTGTGCCTCCACCTCCCCGGTCTCTCCAACCACGAATTCTATCAATTTCTTGTGCACTCACTTGTTCATCCGATCTCCAATGGTTAACAATCACCATCAACCACATCCCTCTTGTACACGCCCGTAATTTGTACAAATACCAAATCGTGTGTCCAAGGGAAATCTACTAAGCGATATTCTTAATATTCCTGGGTATCTGGCTAGCGTAACTGGGCCCAGGCAGCAAAACCGAAGCTTATGCAAATAAAGTAACCGCAGGCGTGATAACTCGGATCAACTCGATGCCACAATAATCTCTAGTCTAGCTGGCCATCCAATTTCTGAGCATCCTGAACTCACACCTTTTAACTCCATAATCAATACCACCAATAATGTATTGAGAACAGATGGAGTAATAAGTTGGTTATTGATGTCTCAGTGCCCCGGGGTGGCTTTTCACCGTTAAGTAGCCAACAAAATGCAGACGAAACAAACTGACTGTGATCAGGTAGCAACCATGTCGGTCACAGGGTGGCTAAGAAAACCTTTCTGAAGCTAATGGGTGAAATCAGATAAAATCAATCACCTTGTCCTAACTAAGTATCAACTTCTGGAAGTCAACAAGCTGTTTGACAGATAGTGAGAAGAGTTATTGGAATTTGCACTTATGAAACTGTTCTTTTGTCGGCTAAAGGTTTCTTTTTGACCTCTTTCTCCAGAAGAACGTGAAAAAAAACAGAAGCTATATCAGGGGGCAGTAATGGAATCAGAGCTACCTGAACACTTAGCAAATGAAAACTGGTCGCTATCTTTTCACTGTACAATAACCAAAATGTCACTAATTTAACGAGTCTGGTTCATTAGCCCATAGCTTATGGATTTTTCGTATGAGTTATTGGAAAATTATCACGCATATCGATATCTCCGCGCCTACAACTGCGCATAGTGCGTTACTTTTAAAAACCCCCATATTTACAATGGTGCTTCATGCCGCCTATTAAATAAAGTGATTTTTTTTCAAAAAAGGCTATTTTTGCATTGGTAGTGACATCTTGATTTTATTTTTAAAAGTAACCTAACCTTCCACACACAGACCGTCGAGTTGCGGTGTACCTGCTTCCAGTTCAACTGTTCATTCTCCTAATTTTAAAGAAAGTTGCAGTATCAAATTTTGCACTTAATAGTTGTTTTAAATTACGCACGTATTCCCTTCACGGGTACACATCGGTCAAGGCCACTGAAGACGACCAATACATAACACTTATTCCGGTAATTGCTACGAACAATGACAACTTACCATCCTCATTCCACTGTCTACTTCAAACTAATATGCAAATAGGCCTTAAGCTCTCAATTTTGCCGCAGACGTGTGCGGTCAAACGAGCAAGGAAGCTAGATTAATTTTCGGATTAGCTTGGATTAGGGCAAAGCCTAACAAGATAGGATTTTTTGTTGTGCATAATTTATAGACAAAGCGTCTTCTAAGTTTAAGCTGGCAGATACGAGGCCGCGAAGGTCCCACAGTTAAATTCGGGATGCGATATGCCTTCAGCCACAGCTAGTTGTTCCGAAAGTGTAATCTAGAGTAACCTGTCTTTATTGGACATTGGCTGTAAATTCCTATTACGCTGCTAGAAATTACAGAACGAGCGTTCCTGTAAGTTATCGTAAATTTAAGGATTTTAATCTCGGTAATTTCAGCAAGTGGTACACTCAACGTCTTTATCACCACTACTTCAATGGTGCGCTTAATAACTTATCACTACTCCGTGGCCGTGGTGGCCGTTTATAATGTTTGCAGTGAATTATTTCGACTATGATGACGCGAATTTACCGACTGCCATTTTGGACGCGTTCGTTGAGACAAAGAGGAAAACAACTAGTAGATTCCAGGCAGGTGGGTATTTTCCACTCTCCCTCCAACGAACTGCCTGGTGCGTTGACATAAACCACACAAAATTAGTGGGAAAACTGCATCAGGTGTTGAAGTTTGATGTCGAGGATCGCTCAAGCCAAATATACTTCAGTGTTAAGTAACAAACACTTGGATACACAAGTCAGGTTTATTGATGATTTCAGCCACCTTTTAAATTCAGCAGCCCATCGGTTAATAAAACACAACTACGTGGCAGATATTAGTTGGTGTTATGTAAGGAGGAAAAAAGTAATTTTTTTGGAAACTCCATGCTCATCCACCTTTTACAAAATTTAAGCATGCATTGTAAGTTGTATATCCTGTACTCATGTAATCCAGTCCAGTGGTTAAAGAAATGGACAGTCATATGAGTGGAGAAAATGCATGAGTTGCGGGGCTACATACTAGAGTGGATTATATCTGGATACAGACATTTGGTTAAGTTTTGCTGGAAGATTCTGTTGGTTAGTTAGTTTAATAGGTAACACGCTTGGTTTCGAAGAGAACGTGATGAATCTGGTGCAGCTTAGTTTGGTTTACGAAAACCGCCACACTTAGGCGAAGGACACTTTTCAGCCTTCTGTTAGAGAAGCTTTTAACTTGAATATTCAAGATGCGTTAACTAGAACGACGAGTTTTCTAAGCCCTTCTACGGTGCAAGCAGGTCGATTCAAGCATATCAAAGCCCACACTGTATATTTCCACATGAACTCAAAGTACATAGCCCGCTTTCAATTTCTGGATGAGTTAGAACACGAATAAGTTATGTGAAAAACTTTCGAGGCTTGATCCAAAATGATAAAAAACTGTCTCAATGCTGAATTTCAGCGCACCTGAGTGTTATGCTTGAAATTGAGAAAAATGTCCAAGCCGTCTTTCCTAGGCTGTAAATGATAAGCCGAGATAAGGTTACAAGCAATAAAAGCAGATTCAGATTTTGACCAAAAATGCAAAGAACATATTTGCACAGATGTAAAAAAATGGGGTGATTTTGACACATTTACAAGCCTCACTGAAAATGACCACATTTGCTGTCGAAAGTGGATCTTTGCCGCTGATTTTAGTCTGTAAGCTTTTGTTTTTTTCCACTTTGGATTACTAACGTTGGTACTGGTCGGGGGAAGGCGTAGGTGGAGTGGGTGGGGTGGGGTGGGGTGGGGTGGGGTGGGAGAGCAGAGGGACACGCAGAGCCAGTTGTTCCAGGGGTGTCGCCAGCTCGGGGCCTGACGGAGGTCGGAGGTGTGACAAATTGTTACTACCTCCCCCACTCCGCCTCCTCCTTCAGCTCTTTAAACGAATGAATGCTTAAAAACGCACACAACGGAGATGCAAGTAAATAATTAGGTAAAACGGAGTCTCACGCGACGGGCATCTGCGTATTTCACCGGCTATAGAGAAGTGTAGTGGCTTGTGGTCTAGCACTACCTTACAACCCTCTAGTTAACGACCTGTAACAACCCGAGAATGGAATGAAGAGAGGCGACAGAGAACACGACCGTTTATTAGCATCACGCCAGCCAAGTGTCGTACTTAGTGTGTGGATGGGTGAACGAATGACAGGCATCTGATAACTAACCAATTTAAAGGAGATGAGTCATTGTCACTGTCAGGTCAATAAATGGGGTTCACCCAGGCGAGATCGCTGTTAATCCGCTACAGAAGTTCAAAACGACCTTAATTGGGCAATTACATGAAAATTATCGTGTGGTGTTTACGTTTAACCAAACCATGTTGTGATTTTGACGGAAGAAGCTGCCTTTTTCAGTGGGAACTGTTGATATAATCGACAAGGTACTTAGCCGTCTAACAAAACACACAATCAGCATTTGTTTGTTTCAGTAGGCGCTAAATTAGAGTCAATTTGTGTGCGATTGGTGCACAAAGGGTAGTCTATTCTTCCCACAATGGCTTGCGATGTTGCGTTCCGACAATAACAGTGAAGGTGAGATCAATATGTCAAGGCTTACTACATTGTCTAGTCCACGTCACTCTTACTTGGGTTTGCGAATACGCCACGAGCAAACTGTCCGTCACTTCGATTAAATGGCTTCTGTTGAGCGTCCTACGTATGGGCTTCTCTACAGTGATTTGATTGATCCTCCTGTAAGTTATACTTTACATTTATTCTTGAGCTGACATTTCACCACACAGAACGAACAAGTTTTCATTACTAAATAGGTAGTTGTGTTGTCTTTTCACTATCGTTTCTATTACCGGGTTCTGTAGATTTCAACAAGTAAGGAATTGCAAAGTACGATTTTATCTTGGTCCATCTATACTAACTCGACATTTCGGACTTATGCCACAGGCGATATGAATTACATCTCACATACCTAAAACTGCGTTTCGCAAAAACACAAGACCAAGTTACTACCTCATAGACTGGTTTGCGCTTGATTTCGCATGCCTTCTTGAAAAGGACTGACTGGTCAGATTTCATTGGTGTTTGTGTATCGATAAAACTAATCTAATTGGTTACAGAACACAGTGAAAAGTATTTGCTATTGGCAATACCACGACCCACAAAACAACATTGGTGTGCTGAATTGATCTGACGTGCATATTCAACAGATCACGGAATGACACCTCGAGTTAGCCAAATTCCCCACCGATCTGGGTTTTGGGTAACCCTTAAATTATCACTAATAGAAATTTGAGTTCCCAAATTTCAGACCAAAGACCTTCTAGGTAAACAGGCATAATTCTGGAACGGATAAAAGCGCATTTAGTAGACTAATTATCAAAGCGAATTTCAAAACAAGACAACGACGAATTAGGCAAAGACAGCTCTAAAACTAGCGAATTTGTTAACGAAGAACTGCTTTGTACAATACAAAACGAATTTACAAAAAATCAAGATGGGCGATTTGTATTTTAACAAAGAAATGGATTTTGTACACGGCGATGGAACTCAGGATCCGCACTCAGACATTTTCGACGGCCTCTCGTCCACCCTGCCGCTTCTGTTGGTAATTGCGTAGATCTTTCTTCCACTCCTTCATACGAGACCAGGAGCGCTCTTTGCGGGTGCGAGGTGCCAACCAGGCCTTGTGCTCGATCTCCTTGGTGTGGTCGAAGTACGTCAGGCGCTCCTCCTCGTCTGCTAGTTCGCGGAGACGACTCTTCACCGAGGACAGGACCTCGCGACGACGCATGCGCTCCACTTCGGTTCTCCAGATCTCCTCCCGAGTGGTCTCAAAGCTGGTATAGAGTTCATGGACCCGAGCCTGCTCAGCTTTCAGGATCTCGGCGTCTTTGGAGATGATGGAAACGAGACTCGCCACGGTATCATGGAAGGACTTCTTTGTAGGTGGAAATTTCGCCACCAGTTCCTGCAGCGGGAAGAAAAGCCGTGTGTACAATAGAGACGCGAAAGGTGGGAACTGTAGCCGAGCAGTGAAAACAATCCTGCGAGTTTAATGCAGCCACATTTGTCTATTCGAAAATTTGGCCAGCCACAAACCGCTCAAAATCAGACCGCCCTGTCTGGGGCATCCACTCGCGCCATTTCAATACGAACAACAAAGCTCTGCCATATAACGCGCTTCACGCATCACTCACACGCTACCCACCACGGCGTGTTCCACACACACACACACGCGCATTGATTTTTTGCTTTAAGATGGTCCTCCACCCCATCCCACACACGTGGGAACACAGACTAGACAGGCAGTGTAGAGGCCAAATGACAAGATGGCTGGCGGATCCCCCACCAGCTGATGCCGTGAGAACTTCGGTGAGTCCTCCTCAGTGGTGGGGGAGTTGCGCGGAGAATCCTGCCTGACCGCGGATTCGAAACGTTTAAGGTAGCCGATTATAATAGAAGATACACAGGCCAGAATTCAACGAAGGGAACCATAGTAATGCTGGTGGTTGTTTTGAGTTCCGTGGTGGTCAGTAGGCCGCAAGCACCGTTGCCGTGTGGGACACCCTAATAAGACAACTATTTGCCTTCACACAGTTAATGGTTCCACATATTGACTTTCAAACAGCCCTGTTACCGAGCGCGCAAATTCTTAAAAAACGGTACAGTCGAAACCAACCACCTTTTATTGCAAACAGCGAACAGGCAGGACGGGACAGCCTTTAGAAAGCAGCCTCAAGTTTTTCCACGATTCGACGCAAGCGGATACTACAGGTTCTGGAGAACAACATCAGAAGGGGCTAGTTGCCAGAAATGTCCGTGCACAAAGACTTGTTATCACCTGCCATGGGCGGCAAAGCAACAATTCCTTAAGTCTTACAAAAGGAGTTGACCGCCGTGAGGTCACTCGCAAAAAAAACCCCGAACTTAAAGTCAACCAAGGGGAAATACGAAACAAAAACTGCCTCGTTTTTTTTGTCACCACGGCGACAGAAGGGTGAGAAAATATTCCTGCAGCAGCTTTCCCCACACTTTAGGTCAAGTTGACAAGCAAGCACCAAGACTAAGCCGAATGTCACAGCTACGAATTCACAAAAGGCAGTGAACGTGGCAGAAAAGGCAAAGAAAACACACAGTTCTGTTGCAGTTTTGGGAATAGGCAAAAATCTGACGGAGAAATCACGAAATAAACGCCCAAACATTAAAATGATTCCCGTTTTGTGCTGGAAAAAGGAGTGAATTTGCAATCAATGGGGGCACATGCGATCCAGTGATATTCACAGATACTCTAGCAACACAGAACGGCAAATTTATTCGTCAACTGCAATTTCCAGCAAGACTGAAATTTCTCAGGTACCAAAGAAGTAAAAAAACTGCCAGACATGTAACAGGAAACTGCAAAAACTATGACATGGGAAACAGATCGCATGAGAGGCGGTGAAAGACTGTCTTACGAAGGCTACTGCCTGCCAAGTCTCCACTTAGTAGCTCAGCTACTATCACATAGAAACTGGAATGGTTTTGAGCGATCTCCTCTGGATCGGTTGACGAATTAATGCGAATTTAGCTCAAAGCAATTGTATCGGCAATGCGGGGAAGAACACGAATGTTCTAAGTTGTGAGATGAACAGATCTAAAAAGGCATCAGCCAATCAGAACAAGGAGTCTGTGTTGCCTATTGGTGGTGGTTAGATTCTTCTATTCTACGAAAACATCACACTACACAATGCACCACACAGAAGCGCTGACACGTACCTTGAAGGTTTTCAGAGTCAAATTGACATCTGATTCCGTCAGGAGCGTAGGTTCGCCCCGTTTTACTTCCGAGTCATCCGATCGGCGATCACTTGACTCAATCAGCCTTTCAACTGCCGAAAGCTGTAAGTTGAGAAACGCAGATAGAAGTTACAGGAGTCACGTGTGCTTAAACGAAACATGGCAGGTCAGGAAATAGTTGTGTGAATATGTATGTACTTACTATATGTAAGTAGAAATCTCAAAACAAAGTAGGAAAAACGGAACAAAATACTCACGACTTCTTGGTCTATGCAGTTGGAAAGCCCAGAAGATTCACTAACGGTTTTGGCGAATGTCAGGAGTCGATTAGCATCCTCCACAAGAGCGAATCCAAGCAGGGAAAGACTCGGAGCGACTTCCTTCAGGTCAAGAATGAGGGTGTCAGAGAAAAGCACCAGGGCCTGTCGCTCAATGGCGCTTGCGACCGCCAGAGCGCAGTGACCAAGTTGCAGTCGAGGCCGATCAATGTCAAACCAACCGTCATAATTGGGATTTCTTAGATACGGTACGCTCCGGTAATCGATCTGAAATTGTGCAAAGAAAAGAACCAGGCGATTTAAAGTCATGAGCCAAGGAAATCATTGAATATAAAGGAAGAAATGTATAGATTTCAGTTCTTTTTGAAAAGTACAATTAGAAGACGACGCCTTCTACATGATGCAGAAATTGACGCCAAAGTAAACACACACAAAAAATGGGCAATCAAGTATAGTGTTATTGCATGTACCGTTACAAGAAATCGACCGGTGGTAAAATGGCTGCACCTATGTTTCAAGCAAAGAAAAGTATTCAAAAACTGGAATGCAGAAACTGTTTATCTACAGAACTTTGCATTTGACATGCTCAATGGTCTAGAAAATCTTACAATGCGAACAAATTCAACGAGCAAAAAAGTTAGTGTGGCAAATTTACTATAAACTGTCTGAAGTCAAAAAATGGAAGTTAACAAGATAATAATTCTAATGTCAAAATACTGGTACTACTACGACAGACGACCTAATGTGGCAAAAAGAATTTGGACGAAAAACACCAAAACATATAATTCATTCATGGGAACACGATTTTAACTAGAAGCTAGACCTGCCGATAGATCATTGTTATAAACCACGTCTAATGACTAAATTAAGCAAGCATTCTTAACTCGAAAATCGCTACTCACGGTTCGCATCACGTGGGGCACCCAGTTCGTCGTTAAGCAAGAGAGGGTGGACATCTGTGAATGCAACCACGCAGACTAATAATTGATTTCACTGTCAATTTCTCGGGCCTTTCATAATCTCGTGTGTTCCAACATGAATTCGGTTAAACCGAAGTTATATTTTTACGGTCTCACGGTGTAGGTACCGTGAATGAGTGAAAGATATATGTTTCTACTGTTATTCATCTTGTTCCGACTAATGAATGCTACCAATACACAATAACAAGGCTACTCCAAAACATTTTAAAAGTAGATGCTTTTCGGGATCACTGGAGTCCTGTCTCACTAAAGGATATACCCAGGTAATTTAAAGCACGCAATTAGCTTGCATAACCAAGAGGAACAATGCGCGGAATAACGGGAATAAAAGCAGAATTAAGGCTAAAGTACATGTACAACCATCAAGAGTGCAACACAAGGATTAAAATTGTACATCAAAAGGAAGTTAAGACTTACATCCCCATCATCAACAACCTCTGTATCGGCTTCATCTACTTCAGAACGCTCGAAATACTTTTCGGATTTAATCGACTGGGAGATGGTGTGAAGCCACAGTGCAGTTAAGTAAGGCGTAAGAGGTTGCTGTTCCAAATGAGACTGCAAGCACAGCTCCCACATTACCGATATTGCAGCAGGGTAGTCGTGTTTTTGCACAAAACGTTTTAACAGATAGTTAGCGGAAACCTCATCTAAAAAGACACCAGTGCTTGCCAATTGGAGGCAAATAAGTACTTAGGGACTTACTCTGCTCCTAAGCAACTCTAGTAGGCGGTACTCTTCATTATGATAAATGTAATTTCGAACAAAAGCGTGGCTGGTTGATGCAAGGGTGTTCAACGAGCTTTGCGTTGTTTGAAACCTAAAAATTGCCTTCTGCACATATATCTACGAACTTGTACATGATGTTCTCAAGATATTCGAGAAATTGCTTGTCTGTCTCTTGAACTTTATTTACGAACTAAGTAAATGAAATATTAAAATTATTTCAAACATACTATATCATAATCCAAAGACGTAACGGGAACTTTATTCGAAAGCCGGTGTGCAATTTGGGTTCCTAAGTCACCTAGAACTACGTTATATGGCGTGAGTTAACTTACTTGCAGATAAATTTCCAAAAGCTTGTGACGAAAGACGAGAATTCCATTTTTCCGTACACGAATAGGCATCAGACAAAAAGCCCCTTCTTATAACTATAGGACCTAATAGAGAGATTCGAGCATCTACCATTTGGTGCATGGCGCAATAAAATAACACGGAATAACTGCATCCCTACTAGTGAGCACGAAGGTTAATGCAGCGACAGGGACTTGGGCTAAATGAGACAGGATAATACATGAAACTATATGGATAATCGGTAATGTAATGTAATCGGAGGTAATGTTTGATTCCTTAAACGAAACAGGTTTGAAGAAGGACAACAAAATTTTCTAACATAAGAATATGAATTAAATGGAACTCCAAAGGTAACGGCCGAGAAATTGTAAAATAATTTCGGTCCTTTTACACAATAATGAGTCATTGATTTTGCGTAAAATCACCAATTAAAGATAAAGCCTCACTTTGGAGAATAAGAATAATACTAAAGCTTAATGCATATTTGCTCTCGTTAAAATTTAGATGCATAAAGGGAAAGTTAATACCGATTCGGTGCCTATGATTGCTATACGTCTGTAATCAACAATAATCGTACATGTATTCCTCGTGCTAAACTTAATGTTGACGGCGCAATTTAGATGACTCAAATAATGAGACATGATGACCCTGCTTAATAAAGGTTTCCTAAAAAATTAAAAAAGGTGGCACGAAGTTAGACTAATAAAGTATTTCGACCAAATCCCTAATTTGATCTTTCGATTTGACAATATTTTGTTTTAAACAGGCCACACCGGAAACTACCTTTACTCAAGCTGCCACATTAAATGATATTTTTATCAATCGGCCGTTAGACCTTGACTTCCATTAGCTGACTTCGTTGTGGGTTTTTGGATTAATGCTTGGCCAACCGACCATTCACTTGTATGTACACCACTTATGCCGCTCCCGACTTGGAACTGATTTTCTATCCGTTCAGCCACTAAAGAAGGAACAGAGACCTGGCATTTTCAGTGGTGCATTTCGTGCAACCCCCATTCGTCGTTCATCTTGTCTGAAATATTCCCCTCTAATTACAAATCAATAACGAAACACCACATCACACCGTAAAATTATGCGACGCTCCGCATATATTTCGGGCAAAATATCAAGTGTAGAATACCCAAGCCCAAGTATGAGGAACACTGGTACATGAGATAGGGCTATATTGACCAATCACAAGCTAGAACCTCACGTCAGGTGACGTCCATCCGAGTCCACCACACTGGCTGCGCCGCTCATTATATACCCCTTCTCAAACGCGTCTCTCCGGTTAGCTCCATATATTTCTCGCAGTCTATTCGAACGCAGAAGCACAGGATTAGCTGAGGCTGGTGCAGTCCATTATATCTGCGCTCTTATACGTCGCTCCACCAGATGCTTGTATAAACCAGCATGACCAAAAAACAATAATACCACTTTATCAAGTAAAAACAAAACTTTATATTGGGTAAAAATTTACTTGTTTAACATGGTGAGACCTGGATCGGACACAGACGCATCGGGTATATATTCGATTGAGCACAATACAAGTGCTCACACCTGCCGAGTTTACGGCAAGGTATACCATACCCCAGAATTGTAGATATTAGAACTCCTCCATCCGAATATCAACGTCAGTTAGTAGGAAAACATTTTCAAGTGGCAAAAAAGCCAGCAAGTTGAAAGCACTTGAAGTGTTTAAGCAAATTTGACCGATGTGGTTCCACTTGAAACACAGTCTAAAAAAGGTAAAATGTAGTAATATAACTGAGACTACCTTCAGTGGAACATTTAGCATGTGAAACGTCCTGAAAAATACCAGGTGTTACCATAAATCCACTCTCAAACGTAGAAATAAAATTGTCGCATCACAGGGCACATTCTTTTCAGGTTCGAAAGCCTCTTGATAGTTGTGAAACATTGCGGAAGTCGGTGGTTGAAATTATTAAAAAGGACGATCGTTAACACTTTCAAAGGCAAAATTGAAGGCATACCCATTAAAATGAACATTTATGACTTCTGCAAATAACAATGGTGCAGATTCGTACTGGCTTTCAACAAGACAAACATTCGATTTTGTTGCAACAAATTAAGTTAGCAAAGACAGCAAAATTAATAACAATAATGCCTTGATTTAGCATAACTTATTTCAAATTACTGGCTACAGTCGTGTGGACCCCAAAATCACTAAAAAATTGCCACGGCTGGTTTACCTTTTCCCGTGCTCGTTGGATGGCTGAGGAGAATCCAGACGCAAGATTCGGGTGCAGCACACAAACATCACGAAGTCGGCCACACGACTGCTTTAAAAATTCAATTAATCTAAAAATTTGGAAGCACAAATTGGAGCTTTGTTGGCGAGGGCAGCATTTTTACCATACCGTGTTGTTACAGAGACAACTACTAAATACGTCAGACACGTTATTTTATAAAGCTAAAATATGACAACACAAGACAACCAGATTGAAGGCCTGTCGAGCCTTTGTTCATGTAATTTTACCGTAATGATCTGGTAGCTCCATACAAGAAATGCAGTGCTCAGAGACTCGATATAATAAACAAACATGTCTTTCTAATATACCTAAAAGGGATGAAAAAGAGCGTGGCGCAGTTTCTTGCAGCGTTTTACTATTAATGTGCCTTCACCTCCCTTGCCACCCATAACACGCCTCTTGACATTCAGGTACTCACACAACGACGAGTTCATCTGAGCTCTCTTGGTCAACAATCTTCATTTATCACTTCACTTTTTGGCAGGTTTGAGACTGTGCATGGCTTACAGCACGACAAAATACAATAAAGGTTTGCTGTCATTTACATTCTTCTTAATTTTCCCGGACTTCCCGCGTGGTTCGGAAAGCATATACAAACTGTTACAGGCATTAAGTCCGAATTGACAGTCTAGCTCACCATGTTTCACTGAACAACACCGGCGGAATCACCTCACAGCATTCAGCATGAAGCTTAAAAAGAAACCGGAATTTTTGAAAATCTTTTACATTTCATGAAGTTAATTAAGCACTTCTGTGTAAACTTTGATGAAATGAGTGAGTCAAATGAGCCAAATCAAATCAAATCAACAAACTACTCAAACTATGGACTAGGGAAAGCGGGATAAAAATATAGCTTCGAATAAGTGGGATGTTTGGTAGGAGGTACGGAATTTGGATTACCCGATAATGTGCAACAGATATCACACGTACATATTTAAAATGTGTGAGGCCATAGAGAACACCAGGGCAGTTAAGCTGATTTCAATAATTAAATGCGATTTAATCAGCATAAGGTAATGACAATAAATTTTATTTTGCATTTACAGTAACTTGAGAGTTTTGATCAATAAGAGGAAAAAAACTCACACGGCGTCATCAAGTAAAAGAGCATCCTGTATCCATGGTATAATCTTTTCTGTAAGATGGGCAGGTGAGTATTCTAAGATCTCCATGAGTAGAGTAATGAATAGGGGAGGGTCAAACACCCAACACCAATCCAAATACTCCGTAAGAGACGCTGAAGAACAATGTTGTAGTTTCGTCCAAATATGAGAGCGTTCAAGAAAAAATGGGGTCTCCTCGGAAGCAAGGCCCTGGAATTAAAACACTGAAGCTACCGCGTATCGGTACAGCCAAGCAAATGAATCAAAAGTTAAATTGATAGGCAGAAAAAGGTAGTATAAACGGAATCAGGGTTAAATTACAAAATTAACGTAAATAATTGACAAACCAAATAAGATAATGGCCCAAACTTGTGGAGTGAAAATCGGTCATGCATAAGCATAATTCTAGACTTTATGGCCCGTCTTCGTCTTAAAAAAAGAGGCGTTAAAAAACTAGGAATGTGATACATTTAACAAGAACAGGCACCAATCAAAATGCCTGCTTGAGATTTGTATTCACAAACATTCACTTAAAGTGCCTTGTCACGCCCGTCTCTTGTCAGTAGGCTATCATAAATTATATTAAGCTGTCAGCATAGAGTCGTACAACGTACTTTATGGATGGCTGAGTCATCTATACAAACGGCTCCGTCACCCAAGAGTTCAAGATTCAATTGAGGGAAGAGATCTCGATGTGCCGATATAAATGTGGTGAGTGAGAGCTTTCGATCCTCCGGCATCAACTTTAAAACCTAAGACAGACATGCCCAAAAGATGAACATACCCTGGAGAACTGTTCAAGAAATTGGATAGTGTTTAATCTCTGTTCTTGAGGAAGACAATCAATATTTGCTAATTGGAAATACTGCAATAGCTTAAGGTACGCGAAGACAACCGATAAGTGATCCGCCATTTGAAATCAAACCAATACACACATAAATGCGCGCACAGTCATTCAAGGACCTTACGAAAATACATTCAAAATGTTGTGAAATTATTGAAGCATTTATTTTTCATGAGTTCTCATGGATACTAGAGCTGCTTTAATTAATTATTTCTTCTTGCTGTGTTCAAAATCAAACATCTATATTTTGGTGTCACACCATTAAAGGGATGTTTTGAATGTGGAATCGAAACTGATTCAGAATAGAAGTTTGAACGTAAAATATGTCAATTCGCAAATTAATTCTAGTGTAAACAATATTTAGGGGTTCTGTTCTCAAGGGATAACTTTATTTATTAGTCCATCGTAACACGTTTATTAACGATAAGTGATTTCGTACATGTGTTAATTTCTAACAATCGTTCTTAACATCTGTTACTGATACATATACAGTCATTTTAGTACACCTTATTACTTGCAGATACAAACTGATTTTGATAATGCACTCGTCAAAAATTAAATTAAACTTCGTAAGCGATTGACGTTTCTTCTGGGCAATTATCCACGATTCGAAAATGTGCACTTTCAAATTGTGATCACAGTAGCACATTAATTGGAAAACGTGATAATTACATTCAGTGGAAGCCATTTCGATTAAACCGTTTAGGATAGATGCGCGTCATGCCACAAAAGAGCCGACAATAATTTGCTTAATCGTGGCAAATCTCAGTCGACCACTTTCTCTATATTTGTCCAACCAGTTCCCAGTAAATGTTACGCAGGAATGCAGCATTGATGTCCTAAATTATTTAGCTGGTTAGAACTCGCTTCTAGTATTTTCAGTTTTTTTTACGAATTTTAAACAGTGGACATACACTGACCCATGTATTTGCACCGGGAAAATCCCCAAGAATTTCGAGGATGGGCACCCAAAAAAGTATGCTCCCTGAATAAACCACATTAGTTGTATTGATAGCGGTTTTATTTGCTGGAAGCGATGTCAGAAAAAGGTAAATGTCCAATGAAATGGCAGACAACGGATATTCACACATTCAAGTCACCGAATAAAAAGACTTTAAAGAATGATTAGAAAATCCAATGTGAAAAAGCGACCGTTGTCGGGCACAAGATGGTAAAGAAGGAGAAGGTTCAATAGCACATACGCCACTTAAATATGTGGATCTACAGTGTGGAAATACATGAGTCATCAGTCCACTTGCTGTCACACGGTAGCAGTCGACGTCGATTGTTCCGTTAGCCAGCTGGGGAGTGGTCCATCAAACCACTAAAAAGCATTGAAAAAAATGTCACACAGACAAAAAAACAACCAAAAAACAGCCTAATTGACTAACCTCCACAATCAACCAACTAATATTCTTTAATTTATTCAATCTGTCTGGCCCAGAACAAAACACAAAGGTCGAGATAAGGTCACTATAGTGATTAATCTAATTGCCAACATTTTGGTCCACGTCAACTCTATTTAGAAAATGGAATAGTTTTTTTTAAGTTTTGATAAACTAAGTCTATCGTAAAAAAAAAAAAACAAAAAAAAATAACCACCGTATTATTGAACAGTGTGGAAATTTTTCGAACAGAAGAAAGCAATGCTTACATTAATAAGACTGTGTTCGAGCGAGCTGTTAGCCTGCATGTGGTCATTGATTACCATCTTGGAGAACTGGTCGTGCTCAGTGAACCAGTGACGCTCCTCTTCAGCCGCTCCCCGAAGATTCGCGAGGTCTTTAAGGAGTGCCGTCGCCCACAGCTGAATGCCAATGTCAGGGAGCTTTTTGGCCACCACCATCGACTTTGTTATCATTTCATGGGCCTCCTAAATGAGAAAAAAATGGTGCTGAAAAAATGTGGCTGTAACAAAAGCAGACTTGGCAATGGATTCTGCCTTCACATTCTCCAAAAAAAAGCATAATCCACAACACGGTGTACTTTATTCACATGAAGGACCACTTGTTCAGTTTCGCTTATATAAAATTATGAGGACAGCAAAGTCTAATCAAAAACTAATAAGGTAACTCTGGACTGAGGTTTGCTACAGATTTGTTAGCACTGTCAAAACCTGGGCCCTATAGACATCTGACACTGAAACAAACAAGTATTAGGAGAGAACAGACTAGTTAGTTAAGAATTAGCCTCCGTGACGCACGGAAATATTTCTCTCGTTGAGATTAATCTGCCCAAGCGTGATGTAGGCGGAGGTGGAGAGGCGATTGAGTTCCTCCTCGTGACTCAGACGAACGGCTTCGCGGAGGCTGGCCTTGGCGTCCTTCAGGCGTCCCTCGAAGAAGGCCAGAAACCCGCGCACGTAGGCCGCCGCCGCCCGCAGACAGAAGCACCCCTCCAGCGCCTGCAGGCCCGACGCCGAGACCTCATCCAGCAGCGTCTGTTCGCGCGGCAAACAGATGCGATAAATATCAACAACTAGGGAACAAACTGCAAAGTGATTTGCGCTTCAAAGAGGTTTATTTTGGTGTGAACAATATGTGCATCTAAAAAGCAAACGGACCTACATTGCTAGGTACGCGCAATTAAAATCTCGCCGGGTAGAGCTCAATAAGTTTAGTGGTGCTAGCCAAGTAAAAACATAAACTCATGATCACTAGTGGCTGTATTTCGTACTCGAATATAAAAATAGTCAAAAGGCAGAAGACTGAAAATCGAGCAGTAAACAAAAGCTTAATTAGGGCACGTTCAAAATCTGTTCATCAAAAAATGCCACACTTTATGCATTAGAATACAAGCTAAAGTAAGAGACGGCGTGTGGGCCACGAATAAGGCAAAGCCTGCGCGCGAACCACACAGAAACGTGGAAACCCAGGACTTCGGAAGACGAATGCAATGACTTACAAGTGTAATGAGAGCACTTACCTCGCACGCCTTATTGTCGCTTTTCCGAATGTAAACGAGAGCAAGGTTGAGGCAGATAAGGACAGTGAGGGAGTCCCTTGGTCCGCCGGAGAGGGTGGAGGCCAGGTCAGCAGCTGCCGAATCAACTGATCCGCTGGCAGGCACTCCGGATGCTGCGGAAGAGGACAGCGGTGGCACGGAACCGGGTACACGCGCACTCGGCCCCGGCTGGGAACTGGCAATGTACTGGCGGGGAAAGAAGAGTTAACGCTAGAGAATTCAAACAGTTCGAAGTACGGAAATCAAACATGCATGGAAAGATTTTGTACAAACTTGAAATATTCCAAAATGCTACTCCGGTAAGCGGGATAAAACAAGAGCGCGCGCTTCGAAGTCACGCAAACACATCGCAGAGCGACGTACACATATTGAGAGAGAGAGAGGTTTACTGGCTAGTAAACGTACTCTGAGGGCAAGTTTGAACTGCTCCTCGGCTTGATTCATGCAGTTCATGGACATGGCGTAGAGACCGATGAGAGTGTGCAGTTGAGGCCGGCGCCGGTGCATCAGGGCGGGTGAGGCGTGGCACAGTTTGCAGGCCTGACCGACACCCTCCACGGCCTTCGTCTTGTCTCCCATCACCAAGCGGCACATGATGGTGTGCTCGAGAAGGCTGAGCTGGAAGACAGTGAGCAGTGGATTCGTGTCAAAGTCGGAGAGCTTTTCTATCCTCAAGAAGGCCTTTTCTGCGGCATGCTGTGCGCGTTGCAAGGAGCCAGATTGCATATTCTGCGTCACAGTGATCAAGTAAATAAGGATAATTGTGTACTCCCGAGGCATCCATTGGAAACGATCCACCTCCTGTGTCGCTGAAACATCTACTAAAAGAATTATAAATACAATGTGTTGAATCCTAAACTAAGCTTCGGCCGCTTGTCAATAAGTGTTACAGTGAGCGGGCATAAGAAATCAATCAGAAAACAATCACGTCGATCGACAATAACATGAACAGTAAATTGCAGTGCGGTGCGCATTGCTAAGGCAACGGGTCACAAACAAATTCCACCTTAGCCAGGTGCCCGAATAAACAATCGATAGCTTAAGTGGACCAAGGTGTGCACTCTGGGGTCCAGAGTAACGCACAGATAGCCACTAACACTAAAACAATAAAGAAAAGGCAAAGTGGAGCCTACTTTCTTCCATGGACGCGAAAAATTGAATACTCTGCTGCAGTTGCCTGAGGATGGGGTGAGCCGACTTGGCGCGACCGGCGAGAAGATAGAGAGAGACGTAGATGATGAGATAGAAGAGCCGCAAGGCTTCCCGCTGATAAGCAGTGCCGTTGAGGTTTTCAATTAAGCGGTTAGCCACTGTAAGTGTGTTTGTTACCTCTGGTAATTGTCGACTTGCAAGCAACAGCTAAAAAGAAACGTACCCTGTGAAAACAACGAATCTTAGTAGAATATTGCAAGTGCGTGACCAAATGCTACTTGAGAAAAAGACAAGCAGAAACACTGTGTGTAGCTAACCTAAGAGTACTTCCATTGGTGCACCAGACGATTTCGAGGAAGGCAAAGCAATCTTCAACCATACTTACAAAATTATGGGACAAATGCTTTAAAACATCTTACTTGGCCAAGATCTATGACACGTCAAAGGTATCCACTGGGTACCAACCCACGGAGTGCTTTCTGGGTTAACAATTGCCATTTTTATGAGGACTGGGAAGTAAAGATTTGGTTGACATTGCTTTTAAACGTTAAATAGTTGTACTAATAACGGAATGAAATGTGAAGTAGACCGATGAATACCACTCCGTAGTCTATTCAGAATGAACACTTATGGAGGAATAAAACCACCACGTGATGTAAAAGCAATCCTGTTCGGCAAAGTAGTTGGGGAAAGAGGACAAAAATAAAAAGAATGATAAGTGGTAAATAGTCCGTTGCATGCACAGTTAAACTTGGATGGTGGGAATTTAGATGCATGTCTGTTCACAAGAAAAAAAGGACTTTAAAAAATGTTAACAAAAGCAAAAAGAAACTTGTAAAGAGAAGAACCGGTTACCCTGTTCATGACAATGCATAATTAATCGAAATGTCACAGCGACCTGCTTTAATCTAACCACTTTATTTGCCGGACCTAGCGACAAATGAGCAGTCATTTTGCCTGTGGACTAATTTGAGTATCCGAAACCAGCAAAGACAGTCACGTCGATTTGTTATACCAAACGTTTCCCTGGGAACTACAACCGTACCTCAGAAGTTAGTGTGGAGGCGTCCCAGAAACTTCATGGTTTTATGCGACATCCACAGATACATTTAAAACAGGGACCTGAAACCGACCCGTCGAAACATATGCCCTGTAAACTGCTCGTTAAAGATAGTAACCCTAGTATATTGTGTAATAAAAGGAAAGATTTACACGCCCGCTAGAAATTCGGACTAATAACCAGTTTGAAAACCTGTTGTGTTTGATAATGTGCAGAAAAACAACAAATTTTACCAAAGACCATACAATGACTGATTTTAAATGTGCGGTTCCAAAGGACGCGAGCTCACCATGCATTTGCTTAGGAGAAACAATCCGCGAGTATACTCAGAATTGTGGCTCTGGGCGAATTCAGAGCCCTTTGCAAGCAGCTCGCATGCTGAGTTTACATCCCTGTCAGCAACACAAGCTTGCTAAAACAGATTAGACAGCATAAGTGATTGCTTAAGGAAAGCAGATTAAGGGGTGAGAAAAAAACCCACAGCTCTTTTCAGTAGTAATCGACAATGCCAGTAGGGATTATCAAGAGAAAGCCGCATCGTATCGTCCAGGATGCATGTTGCCGCATATCTCTTGCCCTTTCTTTCAAAAAAGTCAGCAAGTAGATCAGCGGCCTCGAATTTAATTAAATCATCAGGTGCGCGCAGATGAGCACCAAGAACTCGGGCTTTGTCCAAATGCTGTTTGATTAAATCATCATTTTTGCTGTACATAAAAAGCATTTTGCCAAGCTGCAAGTGTGTGCGGGCTTCATAGTTGACAGGAAGCTTATAGCAAAGTATTGACTTAAGACAGTGAATAGCCAAACGAATGTTAGGCGGACTTGATTTGCGAAAATACTCTGCAAGTCCGAGGAGGGAAGCGTAGCAGTCCTTTACTTGTTCTGGAGCAAGCTGTAGCTGTGAGTCTTGATTTTGAAGCCCACTAACGATTGTTATGCCAGAAGGTGATATTCGAGTTCTCATAACAATGGGAGGCTGTGAAGACGACTGAGAAGATGAATATGGGACCGACACCACTGAGGATGACCGCTGTTGGACAGAATTTGTCGCATTCACTGATGCAGTCCAGTTAACTTGGGAACAAGCAGGCGGAGCTGTGCCGCTGCTGAAAGGATATACGCCGTCTCCACCGGAATTCATTGTAAACTAAGGGTTAAATATATTGGTAAAATCAAGTTTTCTTGCAAGCAAACAACTATAATGGTACACAGAATTTTATTGAGCAAGAGGGAAAGCAAAAACGTGACTAGCAACAGATAAACTAGCCATACATTCCTCAGTACTCATATATACATAACATTATTAATCAATCATTAAACACGCATGTTATGCGGGCAAAAATATCGGGGATTTACACGGAATTTAAGAACAATGTCGGGGAATAAAGTATAATAATCTAAATAAAACCAAGAAATCGACATGAAAAGAACAGAACAAAATAGACAAAAGAATACAGAATTTGCAGATTACGTAAAAAATTTTCCAAAAAGTTTTAAGAACTAATTAGCAAACTAATATGCATAAAATGAATTAGTTTCAAGTTAACAACATAATACGCGGTGACAAATAACTCAAAGTCTCGTTATTTATAACAGAGTCTTCATCAAAACAAAAGGCTAATTGGCGAATTTTTTTAACGCACTTTAGTGACCGATATCGGGAACAAGTGACACAAGCCAAGAGACTTTTCATCAAAAAACTACGGCATTAGAACAGAGCGGACCAAAAGTAACCTGGTAAAACACTTAAGCAAAAAAAGCAAAATTTGCACAAGCAAATTGAAGGATTTTTTGTTAAACCTTAGTTAATCAAAATTAGCAAAAGTCTTCTGTATATATGATGCGCTAGATATAATGTGGTATAAATGCTTTCGCATATTCTTTAAGTTAAAACCACAAAAATATTTTTGATTTTAAAAAAGCATAATATGACCTAAATATGTAAGCCTGAAAAAGATTTTTAGAATTACTTGACAAAGGCGTAATAGTTCTTACGAAAGCCACCATTCCTCATCATTTGATTGTAATTGTTTACTCCATTCACAACTGCTTCAATGAGGCCACTCCTTTAATCATATATTTTACGATCGCAAAAGTAGCTTGCTGATGTGTTATCGCTTTCGCTTTTACTCTCAAAATATTTGGCTGTTTAATATGGTGTGATATTTGACCAGTCTGAGACGGAACACATTTTTCACGGCCGTTACACTTGCACGTCTGCCATAACTGTTATTAGCCTGTTGGAAATCGACATAAAAAGTACAATGATGGCAGAAGTAGTTGATGATTCCATTAACATGGGGAAACAGATGGCTGCTGCAATTATTTAGGCGTACATAGCTTAATTTTCCCTAGAACAAAAAATTGTTGATGATATGCAGCGATATATGTTTTGTATGCATCTATTTGGTTTCATTGATCTTGATGCAGTTTGCCTGCAAGTTGACTGCTTCAACCTACCAACAGCTAACTTTTGTGATATTAACCAGGATCGCCTTTACTTGGTGGACTTGCGCACACTTAATTAGCAAATTAGTCGAGCATAACGTGAACATAATAGTACAAACCCCTGAGTAACGTCAGAGATCTTCCTGAATTCACGTCAGCCATTTTAGATAATGCGCGAACAAACTGTCTCAATAGGCCAAATGCAGTAGAAGACGAATTAGGAACTCATAATGCGAAATATCCACAGCAACGTCCAAGGCAAAGAGACAATGTGATTCTCAACCTGTGTCAGCGACAAGGTTCTTCAGGTGAGTCGCAGGGCCAACACCGTTTTGGTGCCTGGTTCTACCACATATCTATTTAATGCTCTTAGACACTATTCAGGTAAAATACAAGACCCAAATCTAAGACTACCGACTGCATGTTAATTAACAAATAACCTATAATGCCCACTGATTGTTAATGGTACCCAAAGGAGTTCTTTATTTCCTTGGCCCCAGCCACAAATATTCAGGTCTAGCGCACATTTTGATTTTTCAGGATCTTTAGATTCTGCTCCTTATCTCCTGTTGAGTAACGCTTATTTAAAACTAACAAAAAACTGTTACATTGAATTGTTCGACAACGATGATGGTAATACAAGCACTGTTATAAATATTCGACTAGCATAAAATTTCGAATATTAGTACATTTTACTGTGGCTAATTATTAAAATAGCAACCTTTTGTGCAGTTCTGTGGGAGATGTGCCATTATTCACGCGCAATCCCCACCCAGATACCCGTATTTCAATATAGAGCCTGAATGCTTGTTTGACAACTTGAATTCTCCATCCCGTAGCATTTTCCATAGAACCATAGGTTTTCATATAACCCATGCCGGTGTGCATTTGTTGTCCACATACTTGTTGCATACTTTTACTTCTTAATACTTTTTGTCATAAGGAATATATTTATGGGATAACACGTGTACGCTGTTGAACAATACGGTTCGTCTTTATTTTCAAAATGGAATAGTCACGTGAATGCCATCGTGGGCTTTAAGATTTCGAAAAAAGTGTTGTACACACATAGCGAGGCAAGCGGACTTTATCAGTCGATTCCACAACAGAATTAACGCTTCTATGCCACACAACACTAAAAATTAATGTATTAAATAAATAAGCGCCTTCTGAATTAATCAAGTGTCCAAAACTAAGCATAGTGAAATCCGCTGTCGGCTACATAAAAACCAGTCCGCTGCATTCATTTTGAACCTCGTATACTCACGAAACTACAAATGTTTGTGGGACCCATAAATCAAGGGTATGTTCACTCGCTGACACGAAACGCTTATCTTCTATGAGACGGTGTGTTGAATTACATAGATATGACATCAAAGCTAACACGGTTTTGGCAGACAAGCCATTCATTGTACGAAGCCATTTGGCCTTTGCCTCTGGGCATGTACTGGAAATGCGATGGTGGTTGCGCACTTAGACGCAGGGTTCGTTTATTTGACCTAATGGCTTGAGTCCGTTAATTTGCAACAGAGTATATTTGATGTGGTGTACAAGGGTATTCAAACAACTAAATGTGTTTATTGTGGAGATAATGATCTATATTTTGAGTATTTAAGCCCAATTCACTAGCGTTGAGATTAATCTTATGTACAGTGCATAAAAGCTCTTTATTCAGTTCGCTTTTTAAAGTAACTTTTGAAAATTGGCAAACAGGAGTCATAGGGCACTTTAAGGTTAATAAGATTTGTTCTATTTTATCTAGCGCTAGAATGGGCATAATAGGCAAAAGAATTGATTTTGGAGTTCTTTCAAAATAAAGCCAATCAATACCTTAAGTTTTCTAAATACCTAACTATCAATCTAAGATATGCGTATTTCTACTGTTTGACATCTAAATGCGTTTTATTCCGGATTCATCATTTTAGCCTACTGCTGACAGCAATATTGGTTTCACTACCGTAGCCAATAAACAGATAAGTGCATTTGCCTATTTGTCTTGAAAGTAAAATAACTATAATTGTATTTGCAGTTTTTTCTTAAAGTTTTGTAGCCGCTTTCACTTATTAACTGTTCCTTTAAAGCAGTAGACATTTTTTTAGATTTGAGGTGCGTTTCATCCGAGTCTGTTAGAAATTTTCCAATTCAATTCATGCCTAAGGTTGTTTGCTTCGCAACAATGCAAAATGACATTTTTTAAAACTATAATCATTTTTTGTACCTTTTTTGTTTAGTCAAACGTGGCTAATCGTTACTGACGTTTTAATGCGTGATGAGGACACCGCCTTTTTAACATTGGTGGCTTGAGCCGTCCTTATTTGCAGAATGAAGCCTTTTAGCCGGTTTCGACAGCGGTGGAATGAAAAACAAGGCAATATTAGTGAAATTTCGATGCCAACTAGCGTGGAAAAATTAATTCATGTAGAGTTTGATCCTGCGACTGGAAAGTTTATGGGAATGCCTGCATATTGGCAGGAACTAATTTCCCAAGCCAACTTCAGTGACGAGGAGCAAAGAAATCATCCAGCAGAGATAATAAACGCCTGCCAAACCCACGATAATTTTATTAAACAGCAGGAGCACAACGAGAAATTTTTGGTCGCAAGTGGTAGCAGTTTAGACGACTTAGGTAATCAATATTTTCCACTTCTATTATTTGTAGATGAATCTGATCGGAAGTTATCAGATTTATCCGGAACGGAAAATGGTAAACCTGGCCACAGTAGTACGGGGTCAGAGTCAAGCAATGTGCCAGATGCTTCTAGCCCTCAGTCTTTATTGGCTAAAGTGATGACCGGCTCAAATTTTCAAAAAAATCAGCAAAGTGAAACGTCCTCACCGGCGGAACCAACCAGTGGAGATACTCAAAAAAAAACTTACAAACCTCTGCCTGTATTGAAGCAGCCTGCAGAAGCACCTGTCGTACAAAATGAAAAGGTTATTCCAGTAGTAATCTCGTCCATTAGTCGTGTTTATATTTTTTTTCTCGGAATGATATTTTCTTTTCCAAACAGCCTCATTTTTTTGAATATCCATAAACATTGACCGTGAGTAAACATTCTTGGTGAAGTACTTTATGTAATCAGTTGCAAATGCTGTCATGTGCCCTTTTTTCTTACCCATAAATGCCCTTTGAATTCAAACTAATTTAATGCATATAACCTGTAATTCATTCACATACATTTTGAAAAGACCTAAGGACGAACGATTAGATCAAGGAGTCTTAGTATCGTGTTGGCTTGGTTTTATGGCTGCTCATATCCTTAGTAATTCGTTGGGTTTTTCGTTTTCTAGTCTTCACCAACATATTGCGTTTTATGATGTTAAAAATGTATGAACGTCCCTGTTTTGCATTTACGGGCCTTATAATATTTAACGTTTCTGAAGGTATTAATTTTGTCTCGCAAAATCGAGATTTTTATCCCCATCCTTTAACACCTCACAAAAGTATATTCATTATCTTTGCTTGAGCCTCTGCCTTTTGTTTTAGGCAAAAGATGCTTATGTGCGTCGGAGAAATAAGAAGAAGATGACTGATGAGGAGTTCTTCGACGCTTTATGTGCGTTTTATGTAGCTTTATTTCGGATTTTCTGAACGCTTTTGCCTCTTGCAGTGTTGCTCGTTATAAATATTAGCTAGAATTTAACATTTTAATTCTAGATAGCTTGGATTTAGTCGTGATCTTTCATGAAAACGAGGACTATTCTTGTGCATACAAAATGATTGGATCCTTGGTCGAAATCAAGGTTGCTTCGTCTTGGTAGAAAAAAGTCATGACTAATGGGGGTGCTGTGATATTTCGACAAATTAAGTGAGCACATCAGTTTCCTCTGTTGGATGTTGCTCCCAGCAACTACGAAATCATGTTTTTTTTTTGTTTTCATTATTATGATTGGCACAATGCTCATTTCTAAATAATAGAAAACCACTTTTGTTCCTTGAAATGTTAATACCCTTAGTCTACATTTCGGTAATCATGTGTTGTCTTTGTAATTGACTTCCTGCTACATTTACAGGGTACTGGTGTGTTCATTTGCCTTGTCAAGGCATATAACCAATCAACTGAATGCACTTTTTTGAGTGTTTCACTTTATGTTGATTTGCCTCTTTAAGATCCACTCACCTGCAAAATCTAAACATGTCTTATCAAAGTTTCTAATCCGAAATAATTTTCGTTTGGTCTTGTCGGGACCAATAAAATCAAGCGGAAGTAAAGGCTAATTAAAGGTTGAGCGATCGTCTTGTGTGTGAATTTCCACCCAAGGTCTGTTGGGCCCACAGTGTCAATAATTTTCCACCCGCTAGTTGTCATATTAGTTAATGCTTCTATTCTGCAGCATTGTTCAGCACAATGATGAAATTAAATGTGCACAATCCCACTTGTATTGCAGTGTTTCAATTGTGATTTAAATATCTTCAGTTTGCTTAAGAGTGAAGTTTGTGAGATCTGGGTTGCTTTACGCGACCGCAACCGATTTGCTCCATCTTCTGCCTCCGTAAGGCATTGTTTGGTTACTTACCGAAACTCATGTTTTTCCATTGGTTTTTTTTTGGTACTCCAGGAATCACAAATCATTTCGCTTTCTCCCTAGTTACATTTTGCTCTATTATGCTCGTCTAGCTAATTACTTGACAATTCAACTTTATAATGCGTAAACCCACGGCACAGTAACTCCTGGTGGTAGACGAGGGCCTATGTCTATCATTAATTGTCACCTCGGGTGCTTTTGCCCTAACTTGATGCACAGGTATGCACAACATGGAACGACCTACCCTTGCACAGTAATCTAAGTACGCGTGGTTTATAGTAGCCTTAGAAGGCCTTGAAGGTGTAAATGTTTTACATTCGGAACTTCTTTAGGGGAATAAGGAATCTTTATTACCTTCGGTCTTTTAAGCAAATGCCCACCGCTACCCATTGGCACGCTGTTCGATACCAAGTGGTAGTGTAACCTTTTACTAAACGGTACCAGTACCCATGATTTCATTTTTAGATTTTTTAATTGGGAATTTGTCCCAAATGTTGTTTTAAAGTAATTACTTTTGTCCATTATTTTAGTTAAGTCGTATTTTTCATGCACAAAAATTTAGACATTCACATTCACTTTTAACTGATTCTAACTCACGGAAATTGTTGAGGGAGATGTTAAAAGAGGCATCTATGGTTCTTTTAATGCTGGTATTTTGTCAATGAGCCCAACAATAACTGAGCCTGGTCCATTTGAACATGCACATTTTTGTTTTCAACCTCTGCGCGCGTTATGTTAGCTTTTACGGACATCTAATGCTTAATTACTATGGAACACGCGCCACTACGCCTCATGGATTCCCAGCCATCATTGCATTCACCAAAGGCATGGGCTACAGAACTTCGAATTAATGTGCGTTTCCAACTGGGACGTTTTTTACGCTGGGGAAAGCTCAGATTTTTTAGATTTAAAAATGCCCAAAAATCCGAATTTCGAAATTGCCTGTTTAAGGTAATGCTACTTGCGCTACGTTAAAATATACTTGACGTCATAAAGTTATCTTCTGAGCACAACAATTGCTTGTTCAATTGCGCTTTTTGCAGTAGTCTCTTTTTTGACTCCCTCGGCATAATATTCTGAGGCTCCTCTAGGTGCATTTAATCGCCAAATCTAGCTAGCACCTCACGTACACACGCACCTGTAACGCACATAGCTGAGCTTCTTAAGGTTTGTTGAAAGTAACACGTCTTTTCCAATGGGGGGCGGGGTTTGCAGGTAATATGCCATTCCAACTAATATACGCTTCTATACTATAGTACTCTTGATGTGCAAACAATTTTGGTGCCCACACGTCGATACTTTGTCCCCTAAAATCAACCTTTCACAGGTCATTGGTCAGTCCTTTAATCTGTTTTGCCGGGTCGTTTAATTGTGTAACTAAAAGAAGCCGTTCCGTGAAGTAGACTTGACCCTAGCAGATGGCTTAATCAGCGATTTTGTCATTACCATTGACAGTAGCCCACCTGAACCGTGGTACGTTAAATTACCCCGAGTGGGGCTACCTTCATGCACTCAAATTTCTAACCTGGTTTAACATGCAGACTAAAGCTATAGATTTCATAATGAGTCTAAAAACTTAACCATGTTTGCGTAATTCGAACTGTTCTTCGCCGTTAACTGGTTCCAAGGACTAAATTACTGACGATAGAAGGCTGCAGATAGTAAAAGTACCTTTGCCCTGCCTTAGATTCATTGATAATAGCATGTACTATTTTCTCCCTTATCCTCGATTAGTTTAAGGCCAATCTTGAATGATGACTTCAGTTAGTTCCGTGAACTCGCACTTAGTAATGTCGAGGGTTTTTGAGTTCAGGAATGCACGATGTGGTCTGGTGATGCGTGGTCCCTTCCTCGTGCAGCTCCAAGGTTGTATGCAGATTGTGCATGGTTTATTATAGGTTTGCTTAGTTAGGTGCATAGGAAGGGATCTTCTCTAAGCTCACCGACATTCAGCGACGTCTTTCCTGGTAAAATCTGGTTACATGATCCCCTCACGTGCGGCCTTATCAAAACTGCTTCGACCCTCCAGTGTCTGCAGTGGCCATTTAAATCGCTAAGCTTACATTGCGTACTCGCATATTCCTCATTCTTTTTTGCCTTGGGTTTTTGTTACAGGCTAATTCTGCCTCCTTGTAAAAGGCCTCGTCAGTTGAGTAATTCTTCACTAACGCATTTGTTTGTGTTCCTTGATCTCGATTTGGTTTTGTGCTGTAAAAAAACTGCCATTATTTGAATTTATTTTTCACTCAGGCCACTTGTTGGCGCGTTATGATCTTGTTCTCTTCGGTCCATTGATTTTCTGTCCCATCTACAAGGTCAAAGTGATTTGGATCGGCTACCAGTGACACAGAAAAATAATATACGACTTAATGGTTAGGAGGTGCGGTAGCATTTAGACGCAGTGGTTCTGACAGTGCCACTTTGAGCCGTAGGCGTTTTTAGACGGTACAGTCAATTCGCAGTGCATGCATCTGTATGAAATATTAGAGAGTATAAAGCAGAAAAATTATCCAGTTTTTGGTTTATTTTGTCGGAGTTGTGTTCTTTCGTTCACTTTCACGATAGCGTTTTTCTCAATAGCATTAACGGGACCTGTCTTTTCCCGAACTTAGTTCTTTTAGTAACCCTAACAAAGCATAAATGAGATGTGTCGTAATGGGCTTATGGATTTTGGTTATCGATGCGTGACAAAAATGCTTAGGACAAAGTCTCACTGCACTTTTTCTTGTATTTCTTAGCGAAGATAATATCGTCGGGTAATCCTCTTGACAAGTACTGTCTGGAAAGTGTATTGGGCTCAGGGTGAGTTAAAACAAACGTTATTGGTCCTTTGCCAACGATCTCATGAGAAGACATAATTTTATTATATGCCCCGTGTGACAACCTTGTTAGTACATCGGAGAATGCGCTTAGCATTGTTACGTCACCACAACAATGAGCTCAAGTTATTTTTGCTATGCACTGTACGTTGTAACTGGAGTTCGCTTTATTCAAATATTAAATTAACTGCAATTGGAAACAGTCATAAAATGGTTCCCTTGATTCCATGTGCTTTTTCTCCCGTACGTACTTTTGCCGCGTATGTGTGTGAACCTAGTGTAGTTGTTGACCGATACAATTTGGGTTAACTAATTGAAGTACAAATACCTGAATGGTCAGAGGAGTGAAATGAGTGACGGAGACAGTAGATGCTCAGAGATGTGTGAACAGTCAATCCCGTATGGCTGACGGGTACGCTGTGAAAAGCTGGGATTGTGCTGGAGTATGCGGCGACTGAGTTGGATGGTCGTGTATCCACACCATTCACCACAAAGTCCTTCCTCCTCCGCTCATCTTCACATTTCATTTTAGTGCTTCTGGAACTGTCCGGCGCGCTCATAACAAGATCACAAATGAGCCGGTGGCTATCAAGATAATGAATTTGGCAAAGCAACCTAACCGTGACCTCATAATTTCGGAGATTCAGGTGATGGAGCACACTCGTCATGAAAACATTGTTAATTACGTCGAATCCTACCTGCTACGTGACGATGGTGAACTCTGGGTGGTGATGGAGTACCTGGATGGAGGTCCTCTCACCGACGTCGTCACGGAGACTGTCATGGAAACTCCTCTCATCGCGGCTGTTGTCAAAGAGTGTCTCAAGGCGATCCACTTCCTTCACGAGAAGAATATCATCCACAGGTGAGTCGTGCTTCCCAGTCGTTTCGACCTTTGAGCTCTCGTTTAGGTGCGACTCACTGCTCAACTTGGTGCACCTCCAAGCTAGGCTTCTGGTTTGGTCTCCGGGGGTACCACGCATTTTTGCGTAAATCCTAAAAACAGTCTGGATCATTCGTGAGGATGGTAACTTCTTGACACGTCATTTAACGCATTCTAAACAAGTGTCGCGCAGACCACACACACAATTCTATACGCATGCCAACTTATAACACGAATTGCCCACAAGCTTCGTAACTATTTCTACTTGCGGTGTCTTATCATTATTACGTAATACTGGCGATGAAGATGACCTAAATCTTTCGCGAGACCAACAGCGCAATACTTTTTGCATCGTTTTCAGCCTGATGCGAACCTATTTGGGAACCAAATCATTAAAGTGGGCCATGTGGTAATTTTCTTACCTCGTTGTTTTTGCCCTTTCCTTTCCTGATTCAACCGTTTCAATACAGTGCTCATGTATTGTCCCCTTTTAATTAGTGTACAACTTCTAGCAGACCAAACCCCTCCTCTGAATAAGGCTAGGGGTTTCACCGCAGGAAGCCCGGTGCTTCGTCAAATGTCTGCGTTATCGGCATAGAAGAACTTGTCAGATTTCATTCCTTCACCTCTCAGATGTGGTGTTGATCTTGAATTCATCAAACCAGCCGTCTTTAACCCGTCCCTAATATCGCTGATTTTACGTAAACACTTGTACTACTCTCGGTTAATCAAGCTGGTTGGCTATTTGGCAGGTAGTGCCGTACAGTAAGAGAAATTTAAGCAAGCCAATTTTTTTACAAATGCTTGTTTTAATCAAATCTTCAGACGCCTCAACGAAACCTCCGTAAACTTCGATTTTCCTTCTTTCTTTATGACCAGCAAGTTAGTTTTACTAATCCAAGGAAAAACCTCATAAGCCAATGATGTGCATGCAAATGTGCCACGTGTTCTTTGGCATCGTTTCCTGTATAACATTGTCAAAAGGCAGGGGAGGCCGCATTCAAGTACGTAGGATTGAAGAAACAGTAAACTGGATTTTTTATTTATAGATTCTATTAATGTTGATTTTTAATCGTCAAGACTTCCTAAGCCAGTTGGTTATCACCAAACTCGAGCTTACTCAGTCATTGCACATGTGCGTCTATTGGAAAGTAGTTACTCCACTTTACCTTCTTTAGATTAAAAAAACTGCTAACCACTCTAATCACCTGCCTTCATAGTTCGCTTCATCTGCACAATACCTCTCGTTTTCATTTCACTCAGACTTCTCATCGTTTTGTGATGATTTTTCGCGCTGTGTAGCACTCAGGGCAGATGCTTTCATGTGGTGGCGAGCACTCACGTGATCAGCAATTTCTGGATCACTGTCTTTTTGGGGCTTAACGCCTTTAGTTTGATGCTCAATCAACCCTTTCGATCTGGTGACATTACTCCAAGCGCCAGTCTCCCCCTGAAAGGCTCTGTGGGAGCGCTCAAGGACTGTTCGATGGCGGTCATAATCACATCCCCAGTTTTTCACAATGTTCCCTCTTGCAGTTTTTAACCTGTTAGTTGTAACAGAAAAATATTTTTTTGACACTCATCCTTCCCATTTTATAGCGCTAATATCCGCTTTTAGTTCAAATTGTCACCAGAAGCGCTGCGTTTTTACTATTGCCTGTAAAAACTCATGATTCGTTGGTATTGTTTTGGGTTTCGTATGCACAATCTCAACTAGTGTTTCCAATCCCTAACTTATTGGTTTGAGTGGTTAATTGTGTTGTTTTTTCAGGTCAACTTGAATCACGTGCGTGTTATGTGACATGTTAAAAACACATGTTTGTGTTTTAAGTCAACACCTCAAACCAGTTGTTTTGAAAGCGTGCATTCAGCGCTCCCACAATGATTGCTCCAGCCTGCCTGAGCCTGTGGCTCATGGGTGATGTGTTAATATCCTAAAGATATTGCCACTTTGCATTGATCCGTACGATTATACACATGATGAAATAATGTATTAAATTTGCTCTTTTTTCCCCTCCCTCTAAACCAGAGACATCAAGTCGGACAACATCTTGTTAGGAAAGTCGGGCCGCGTGAAGCTAACGGACTTTGGGTTCTGTGCACAGATGGGTAGTCGACACAGCAAACGCCAGACGATGGTGGGAACGCCCTACTGGATGGCTCCGGAAGTCGTCAACAAGGCCGTCAAGTACGGACCCAAAATCGATATCTGGTCTCTTGGGATCATGATCATTGAAATGCTCGACGGAGAACCTCCCTATCTTAATGAGCCGCCTCTCAAAGTACGCCTCATTTCTCGTCTTTTTTGCACAACTTGGTCCAACTTATTCGGTTTTCAATCACTGGAGTTCCTCTCACAGGTCGCTCTATTTGCCTGTTTTTAATGCTACGGATTTCTTCCCACTCCGGTTCCCATTGCGTTTCCGGTTCATCTCTTGCTAAGACATCCAACAACACCGGGCAAAACGTAGCTTCGGTGTTCACACATCAGGTCCACTCTACCTTCTAATTGTCTTTGATTGTTCTTCTCGTAGAGATTTTGTTTGTCCACATGATGCCACTTAATGAATTTATCGATGTATCGCAAAGCACCAACATTATTAGCACATTTCAGTACTTGGGATCGTATTAATCAGTCTACGAATCCAAGACAGATGTCTTTGTGAACCTATCTCCCACCCACCGTATTCTCGCGTCCACTCTTACCTAGAATTGTGGCCAAATTTAAGTGTACTGTGTTTGCATTAATTGCTTCTTGATATTCTTGCTTGGGACATTCTACTGCTTTTCACATAGTCTTTATTTAACACATTGGTATCCAATCTGGCTCTAATATCTGTCCTTATCACTCGTTCGGCCTCAGTTCGGCAAATGCCTGCTAACCTAGAAGACCTAAACCTTTGTTCTAGAAAACGCCAGGTGCTAAATTGTGCCTGCCAGCAGTGGTTGTGTTTCACTACTAATTACGATTTGGGGTTTCTATGAGTGGGTTTGGCCTTCTTCGACGCCCCTCGTAGGTGGTTATTCATCTACTCTCCTTCAGTTTACACCAATTTACGGTAGTACATCAAGCGATTGCTTAACAGTGGGGGTCACATTTGCCCGTGCGCGCGCGCGCGTGTGTGTGTGTGAGGTATTTCGTGATTTCGTAAATGCGATTGCACCATCTCATTGTTGTTCCCAGAAGTTGCACTCTTTTGTGCGAGTTGTTTTTGCCTCTTCGAGTACTTGGCTTCTCTGTCAGCGTTAAAATTCACATCTTTGATACCTTGACGTTTGCATTTGCGCAGTTGGTAACGAGGTATGAATGGTTTGCTAATGATCCCGAAACTCTCCTCGGTATTGAACGTTACGATGTCCTTTTTAGGCCATCTACCTTATACAAACACACGAACGCCCTGAGCCCAAGTCGACCGAAGTCAGCCCATTGATGCGTGACTTTCTGGATAAGTGTCTGCAGGTTGATCCCGAGAAGAGGGCGTCTGCCGCGGAGTTGTTACTTCATCCCTTCCTCAAGGAGACCAAACCCCTCGCCGGTTTGTGTGCCTTAATTGAGGCCGCTCGTCGAAACCTGAACAAACCCGTGTAAAGTATTTCCTGTCCACGCTATCGCCAATTTTTACCCCCATCCACCGTACTGGCACCCGACATAAGTACTCCCTGTCCCACCCCACCACAGCGACACTATTTTTGACAAATACTTGCGTAGACACCGACGTGCCCCCCCCTACCCCGCCGCATATGTACCAGTCATTAGGCAGAGGCGTTGTGTCGTCGGCCTCCCTTCTTCTGTGAATGCCTCCACCAGCCTGTTTGCAGCGTTTTGATCTCCTCTTGCTTCGATTTTTGTGCGCCAAGATTCACCCGGCGGCGCAGACTGAAAAACGAGTTGCGAATTGTGCGTGGCGTTGCGTGGGACGTGCGCCCTTTCATACTTCGCCCTGCACACGCACTCACGCGCTGCCACAAGCGAGCGTTGTGCGTGCCGATAGTTTGTTTTTCAGAGGTGGGAGTACTGCTGTTGATATCTTCTTTCTGCCATCTCCGTTTTGATCGGTATATAAATCTGCTCCTCCTTCACGATCAGCATCATCATCATTTTTATACATTACATGTGTCACACACCGTGCTTACGTTTTTTACTGCGACATCGACTCTAATCGAGTCCTGTTTTAACCAGCTACTCCTTTACAATTTCCCTTCTCTCATTTCTTTGTTACTAACGGAGATAACAAGTACCTATGTATCTTGCAGTGTGCTTTCAGCCAACTCGGTTTTAATTTTCATACGCGAATAAAGTTAGAAGTTGATAGCTGTGTCCTTGAAGCATACACTTCTCTACTTTACTGAATCCTGCCGTTTTCAGTCCGCAGCGAATGCTCCTCTGGCTAGTTAGTCAAGCTTGTTGAAAGTTGACACGCACACAACGTATTGTCCGTGTTACTCTTTTTTCCCATTGGTTCACAACAAATACCTCTGCATACTTGGCGCAGATCCACTGAGGTTGGTGCGCTTCTGCGCCAATGTAACGACTTACACAGGCGCGGCACTTGTGGTTGAATTGTACTTAAACGACGCATAGTCTGTATGCAACTTGTTTTAAGCTAGAGGAATAGTGTCGCGCAAAACTTATGCTGACAAGTGTTTAACTAGGGAACCGCACTGCGTAAATTGGAAATTTCGAGGGAAATAGGGGAGTAGTAGCTGTTACCGGACTGCTAGTACCATCCACAATCTGGCATTTTTCACTTTTGGCGAGTGAATTTGGTAAGGCTGGTTGTTTGAACTTAAGCCCCTCATGTCTAGTTTTGCATACGTGTTATCGACCCTGTCAGCTGATGTTATGCTTCACTTTGCGTGATCGTACTCCCAAGTCAAAATGAATTCAGGAACGAGTAACACCTACTCAATTAAGACTCTTATGGGAACCTGGCAAGAAGCACGTGCCATCGAGGAGGTTTGCAATTGCTATTCATGATCACAGCCTTCAAGCATGAAAGGTCTCAATTTTTAAACAAATGTTCAAAGGGCCAGTTGATAATTCAGAAGATGGCATTACTACAGGATACCTTCTTAAAAGTCGTGCGTTATTGCCTTTGTCCGTAAAGTTTTATTAATCAGTGGTTTATTTTGACCAGGTGAGCAATAGTTTTCGAACATGGAGACGTGACTTGATTACTTCTTACCTGTTCGTACCGCATTTCCGTGTTAAGTCAGTGAGATCAGTGGTGCTGGAAGTGTTTTCGTAACTGCCTTTTGCTTAGGCACCGTTTTATCTTTGAGTAATAGTGTGTGCTTGTTCCTTTTCTCTACTATTTTGGTCACAACGCTACCCAATTTTCACGATTCGAGCTCGCGAACAACACAGCAAATCGGTGACTGCATTCTTGGGAATTGTTTTGATTTACACTGTTAAACTAGTGTACATTCGCATTAAACTTTTCAACAACTTGATTTAATTATCAAGCATTCCATGGCTGAATTTCCCAAGGATGAAACATGGCATGCAATTTATTTCGATGTTTATTCTGAATACTTTCCATCCCCACACATCTAACAATATTTCGTCTGTGATAGCCTTAGGTAACGACTATAACCGGAACGATCAAAAATGCGAAATTTTGAACAAAGTTTAGTCTCACTGATTAAACCGTATCTTGCATACCAAAATGCTTCGTTGTCTCTATGGTAACTGTGAGATACTTTGTAGTCTAAACAAATTGAATTCGTTATAACTATTGCATTATCTGAGATGACCCGGAAACTATGCGAAAACTCAAACAATTCCACAATGACTTGAGACTACAAAATCACCCAAGTATTTCGCATGTGGCGAATCCTCTCCGCCGTTTGTCTAGATCACTATCACCCAGTTTACACCCCTCACGTGACGAATGCGTGTGCTGACAGGCGCAAGGCGAAGCTCAAACCGAAGTACACAGATTATGGAGCACTCGTGTTAGGAATTAGATTGAGTGACAACCTTTTTAGAGAAACCGCACATCTACTGACTGGCGCTTACTCAAACGCCACCACAACGTGTCTTTCCGCAATCAGCTCATGTCTCGCGATAGACGAAGCAAGGTATGCTAGCATTGGTGATGCAAATGCTGACCGCTACCCTAGCTGGGCACCATTTCGATCAGGTGGGACATGGAGGGTGATGTGTACAAGAGTTGCCTGTACTCAGCATGCTGGTCTATCAATTCCACTTCATAATGCCCCCAGGGCTACAGGTTTTCGATCTAGCATGATATGTAGTGGGTAAAATGCCAATAATTTGCATTCGTCTATGCTACGTTGGCCTAGGATTCGGTAAAAGCTCTACTGGAGATTATTTGTTGAGGCAAATAACCAGACTCCATTTTTTTAGTTCATACAAGCATCGAAGTCACTCGACTGAACGAGTTTATCTGTGACATGATTATTCATTTGTCATGTGCAAATCCCAATAATCCAACCTATAAGGGGCACAAATGGGGATTATTATTCTGTTAGCAGTACATTTCCTTCACATCCTTTTAAGTTAGGTGCATATTTTCAATTTACTTCAGGTCCCTACCTCTGGTCCGAGGGACAAGTATTTGCATTTTCACGATCGCGTGGGTCTGGTGTGTCCACCGCCCAGCATGGAGCGAGTTCGCGTGAACCACAGCTACGAGCGCCCTCGGATCATCGTCGCTGTGAGCCTCGATGAGAGCCTCATTTACGGTGCCATGAAACTGTCCGGAGGTGCCAGGCTTATCGGCACCACTGCAGTAAAACCGCTTGCTAGGTCTGTTTTCCAGGTTATTAGGTGAGTTCAAAATTAGAAAGCAGCCATTCTCTGGAACCTCTTCTAAAATATAATTAAATCTGGAATTTTGTTAAAATGGATACGAATGCTAAATTATCAAAGCACTCATTCCTTTCATAAAATATAGAAGGGTAAACCGAAAAAGCCTTCAGATAGTTTCTACTTAAAGAAGATTTTGGTTGCGAAATTGAGTCCATTTGGGACAAGGAAGAAAAATCAGTTTGTTAGATTGAACGGACAAGATTAGAACCAGTGATATGAGATCTTGGCTAACAATAGCTTGTGTAAATTTTGAATTACGTTTTCAATGTGTCAATGCGGTGAATTAATTTCTCCTACATGTAGTCCTGAAGTGTGCCCTAAAGAATGTAAAGTTACGTATGGCGCTCCGGTGCAGTTTTTGTTGGCTACCGAGGAGCTCTCCGACAAGCCATTGTACATGGCAAGCGATTCGCTAATGTCTACGAAAGGGGTGCAGCAGAAGTCAGGTCATAGAGGAGTCTTTTTGAGTGCTGACAGGTGCAACTACAACACCCATTGGGTCTTCCAGCACGTTGATCCGCAAATACGCCTCGAATTCGAAGGCCAACCCGTCCCTGTAAGTCACCAGTTCTGTTTGACTAACCACCTTGCCTCACAAACGTCTGTTCTATCGCGTTTGTCAAAATTGGTATTCAACTCCTTAGATTGGTAGTTGATTTGATTTTGCTTTACAGTCCAGTTAAAATCACTCGGATTTTAAATTCTACTAGGAGAAAATCAGGCAGCAAACGGCATCCCAATCGAAGCTCATGGACCTGTTCTCGTTAAGATCTTTTATTTAAATCCTACTAGGCGCTTTTTGGAATTGTGAGGGAAAAACTCAATATATCTAATTTAATCACTGAAATCTGTTGTGCAGGACCATGGTACATTGGCACGTCCTTTTTTGTTTAAGTTGCTCTCCAAAACACACCTTTCTTTGATGACGTGTGATAGGATTAAGGAGTTGGCAACATCAATGGCTATTTATAGTTCACCGCTGATCTCCATCCGAAAGCTTTAATTAATTTCAGATGAATTTCTCACCGGCTAAAATGCAGTCGCGACCTTTTTTTCTTGTCTAATTTTTTGTTGTTCCAGGTTAACACGCCAGTTATTATCAGACACTGCAAAACCAATTCGGCGCTTGCAATTGAACACAAGAAATCCTGGTTAGTCACGCAGCTGTTCAAATTCTTTACCATAACAGCCTATATATGCTCCTTATATCTCTTTGGATATTTATTTAACTTTAGATTGTAAAGTTTGGCGACAAAAATTTTAAGATTTCTGCGATTAACAGCTTTGATCAGTGTGGTAGCTTTAGTACCTGCCAGAATGATTTCAAACTTGCGTCATTTTCCAGACCCGTTTTGTAAAAATTTGAATATACAGTATCCAAGAGGGGCTGATGAAATCAGTTTAATTTTTATGCGGGAAGATGTCACTAAAGAGGAGCTTCAAATTCTCCACCTAATCACGCTTAATTCTACGAAATCGAAGCGAGTAAAAACTACACTCTAACGATAATTTTAAGGACCATGTTGAACTCTACCACTCATTTTAGTAGGGCTTTCGTTTTGATTAAACAAAATTTTTGTTCAATAAATGAGCATGCTGTATTGATTCAAACAAAATGTGCCTCTCTATGAAAGACATAGTTGTTTGGATTTGGGGAATCCTATACTGTTACAAGTTTCTGGTTTTTACAAACACTACCATTAAATTTATGAAACTTGGACTTCAATGGTGTTGTAAGTTGTGTAGATCTCACGCAGTGAATGTCCGCCAGAAGGCGCCCAGTTACATTCTGTTGGGTGTTTGGAAATAGCCTCCACGAGATTTTCTGCCTTCCCTCGGTCACACGCTCAAAAAGTGTGAAGTCGAGAGCCCGAGACGAGTTTTTCATGCTTGTTGAAGCTCTCGAAGTTAACTGCCATTCAAGGAACCAAAAATAGCAAGACAAGCATGAGTCAACGGCAAAATCGCATTCATTTGAGGATTTGTGCTACTGCGAAAGACACGATCAGAAAAGGCGTTTTTATAATCTCATTTAGATTTAAATCCCGCCTTTGTCGACTTTGTCTACGGTTAAAAAGTAAGAACAGCCAACCGGAAGTTTGCTGTAGCTTGCCTTTCCTCCTTCTTGCCTCTGCTAATCTTTCTATTTCCCCGAACTTTTTGTAATTCAGTTATTAAAAAGTGTTTTAGGGAATAAAAAATCACAACGAACTACCGCAATGCTCCATCACCTATTTTTAATAATGTATAACTGTCAAAAGTCTGACTAGTCGGCCCGAAGTGGTGATGCGGGATGCATGCCATTTCGAAACATAAATTCTGTTCACTAGTTATTACACATTAAATAGTAATAAATCTCGTGCACAAAACTTACTTTCAACCTCCTCAAAGACTTAGACAAACACATTGTGGCTTGAGCTTTCCATTAAATGTTGCGTATTTATTATCAATTTGCCGAGGCCTCAACATCCCAAAACTACAAATCCCATTTCAACAGGTCATTCATCTCCATGATCGTTGAACAAACTCATTTCTCACAGCGAGATATTTTTTCAAATGACACCGAACATAATTTAATCTCTTTTTTAGGGGCTTGCTCGATTTTGAATATGAGGTGAGCAGTTGCAACCATCTTGACGGCCACCGAGCGGAAAACGACACAAACCAAATATGCGTTTGCACAAACCTTGATGTCTGTGAAAGTCTATCTGACGTCAAGTCTGACGCTGAGAAGCTACTGAAAACGATGTCGACCTAGTTTATATTACATTGCGAATGTATTAATACAGCCAGAATATGAAAAGCCATTGTATTCCTCTTGGCTTCCATTAAAATCACTTTTAGTGTGGCCGTTTCCGAATCTGAAGGCTTCGACTTGCATGGTTCCAGTTGTGTACATGCAGAATTTTGTTGTTGTTGTGGTTTGTGCTGGTTGAACTGTATCAGCTATTGTGCTCGTGAGTTTTCTTGGTGTTCTTCGAGGCACTAACTTTAGAAAACTGTAGGGTGAAGAGGCCATTCTGTGCTCTTGATTGAATCGGCAGTAATTTCGGAATTGAATTAAGTTATCCGCATGAGTTGTTTTAAATCATGCAGAGTTTGTTCAGACAAAGCCTGAGCAATTCTTGTAGATGACTCTGCCATGTGCTTGGGCAACGTGATACCGTGTTCGTGTAATCCACATGAATATTTCGTCCATTTGCAATGAAATAAATTTAAATTTGCATGGCTTCCATTTTTACTGTTTTTTTAGTTATTCAACCAGCTCATAGCAGACTCAGAGGAAGCAACTTTGACAAATGGTTTGCCTAATAATACACTGTCTGCAAGAAAAGGTAAATGACAACACATAAAACAAGTAAACTCTTAAATACGACACATTCGGATTTGCTGACTACAAATTACTACAAGTAGCCTGATATTATGATCACTCACTCCATGAGATTTGTTTGAATCAACTACATTAATTTTGAAACAGAGAAACAAGTCGGATTTATGAAGAATCATCTTAAAAGGCACCTGGAGACGATACCTTATCCCAATGCAAATATAAAAAGTAACTTGAGATTCATCACCTAATTCCATGTCCACTTAGTACCTTGCATTATGATTACTCACTCATTCGATGGGATTTGTTTCACTTAGCTACATTGAGTTTGAAGCAGAGGAAAACAACTCTGATGTACGATGTCCCATCTTAGACTCTTGTAAAAGTGGCAAGAGATTCATCACCTAACTCCAAGTCCACCTAGCACCAAAAGTTTGTACTCATTTCGTTCTGAAATGCACGAAAACTTGAAATTTAATTTGGCGAGGTCGCTGTTGCAATTAAAGTAGTATAGGTAACATTAACCTTGATGTGGTACATATACGTTCTCTGTCTCGTTGCATCCTCTTCCCCCAAACGTTCGCCAGCTACTCCGACTAATAAAGCAAATTCTTCTACCAGAATAAACTGCAGAGGTTCTTCACTTCGTCGTTTTCATGGTAATCAATTAACTCATGCCGAAGCACGCTGTCTAATCACTCCCCAAAGACCAAAAACTGTCCGTTTGTCTGGTTGTTGAAGTTTAAGTGGCTAGTGGACGTTATCCATTGGTCCCAATGTAAGTGCGTGTAAATTCTACTAATGACTCATCAATTGTATTTGGTATTCAAACCGAGGAAATACTTTGTTACATATGGGAAAAACTAAACGAATGTGCTAGCCATCCTGTCTCTTCTCTGTTGTGAATTACTACAAACAGTAAGGTAGCAGAGTTGTAACGTGGGTACCGGACTACAAACTACAAAAGTCTGTAAATTTCTTGATCATTTTATATCTTTTCGCCCCAATTCTTTAAAAGTCTTAACCGCTTCATAATTTTTTAACGGTGCAGTTTATCATCACCGCTAATTACACCGCATTGTTTTGTAAAGATAGAATATTAGTGTTCTTCTGACACTTTGAATACGAATTCCATTATTGATAATGGGTTTAGCGGTTATGTCGGTTCAGTGTGCTAAAGGAAGACGGAATTGAGCATAGATATGTTAAATTAAATGCCATTTTGATAAAGACACACTAATCGCATCGATATAAACGGTGGGACTAGTGAGGGATACACAAATATATGGGTGTGCGAACTTCCTAATGTTTAAAAAGAATGAATGATCTGAGGTTTCGTGAGCACAGCTAAGTGATTTGTTCTTTTACGGTTCCTGAAACAAACAAAAAAGACCAGCAAGGTGATTAAACGTTGTGTCTGTGTCGAAAGTGTGAAATTACCCGCATTGCTTTGTTAATCCAAAATGACTGCTCGCATCCTATGGCGAATCGAAATACGGCAGTAATCATTCAATGGCTGAGCATCCTTGCCGGCAGATCCAGTATGGCGGCATTCAGTCACGCCACTGCACAGGCTGCACACTCAAGAGAGGTGCTGATCCACCAATCAAAGCGTTTTTACCAATGTTCACGACCCCAAAGATCTGGTTTGCAGTAAAGTTTAAGTCACCTCTGAAATTGCCCCTAGCTGGCTCTACCACATCACTCACTTTACCAGAGTCCCATGAACCCCGTTTACTGGAGTAATATTTTGACCATTTCTTAAAAAAGCATGACCTGTGTCCTCCCCAAAGGTACTTCTGAAACTTACGCCACAGGTAAGCAGTATTGACGGTGTTGTACTGGTAACCGGATTTTGAAAGATATGTTGACGAGACCTCTGCCAGGAATCGCATCTCAAGGCCAAGAACTGCCGACGAGGCGAGTTAGGCCGAGGCTAATTTGACCGTGGATTTATTTGGAAGAAGACTTTGGTTTGTATCAATGCAAGTCAACATTTTTGGCGCACGCATCCTAGTTTGAGCTGACTGTAAACCTGTAGGTCTAATGCAGGTGGCAAATGGACTACTGCAATCATTAGAGTACAGGTAAGGAACTCAGAAAATAAATTAACCCACAAACAGCTAACTTTTGTGTTATGGAGAAATATCGCCCTTACTTAGGGTCTAGCACTCAATTAACAAATTGATCGAACACGGATTGCACATAACATTACCCACCCTCAGTTAACTGCAGAGATCTTACTGAACTCACGTGAGATGTTGCAAATGCTGAGTGCTCAAGTATTCTCAATACGCGACATCAATCTCGAGACGAACTCGGACCACACACTGCGAAAGGTCAAAGGCTACGTTCAAGGTAAATAGACAAAACGACTTTTCACTGAAACACTCCAACAACTGGGCCAACGACGAGGGTCCCCAAGTGTGTTTGGTGTTAGACGAAGGTGTCTCTTCGTTTGCATGTTCTATGCCAGTGCCATTCTGGGCACCCCAGCATCGGTAAAATGAAATTTAAAGCCCACATCCATGAACACTGGCTGCACATGGATCAATAAATCACACAAAAAGTCATGGACTGCCCTCAATGCCTGCCGCTCGTATACGAACCACCTAATAATGCTTAAATCCCCTGAACACAGCAACAGAAACCTTGGTTCCACATCCATATTAACTTTCGTTGGGAACTAGCAAATCTGCTTCTCCATTTCAAACCAGTAGGCGATTGTTCTAATAAAATTCTTTAACGACGATGAGGATTACAAAAGTACTATGATAAATGTTCGGCTTGCATGGAAGGTCGGACACCATTGCGTTCGACAGTGGCTGACCATTCACATGATAGCAGTTTAAGCAGTTCTGTAGGCAACTAGCTACCAATCACACCCGTTTCCCACTCAACCACCCAAATCCAACCGGACAGGCTGTATGCTTTGCCGACATCCTGAAGCGGTCATAGGGCAGAACTTGCTATAGGGCGGGCGATGTTCATTCGACCCACAACGGTATGAACTTGTAGTCCACAACTCTGCTTTTTACATTTCCTGCTTAATGCTAATTATCGCAACACTTATTGCTTAGAATGACACCATATGTTGTCAGACGATTTTTATCCTTTACGAAATAGTTGTGTAAATCCGATGGTAGAGTTTAGGGTTTCGTAATCAGGTTTTGCTTACTCCTGGCTCAAATCCAGAGGGTAGCCGATGACATTAGTCGATATCCTAGTGAACCTTCCGCTAGTATTTTGAAGAGCACCAAACGAGTGTCTTTCTGCTAAATACTTATCGTTTGAGGTGGTTAGGGTTCGTAAGCTGTGGACAGTGAATGTCACCATGTTCCAGTATAAATTTAGGCTCCTGAAATCCTCATCTGAATCATTAAAACAAACTTTGTTTGAAGCAGTTCATGGGGACATAGATTAGACACACAAGTCTCCCGATAGACTTGATGTTCAGCATACTCCACATTTTGATATCGGCAGATGTCTCATCAAAACATTCTGACTCTGATCAAATAATTTTAGACTGGTTAAAATTTCCAGGAAGGAAGAGTAGTTTACGTGGTCAGCGGGCACTACTCCAGATTGACCTAAAGATGAATCACTAAAAACACTTTTCACTTTGTTAAGATTTCCACTGATTTTAATAATTCCTAATTACGCCACTTCATTCGGTCACCCTATTTCTCAGGACTCTACTGGTAGCTTCCATCTGTTTAAATAGATCTTGATCGGTGAGGTTAAATTCACTCAATGCATATTCGACCATGTTACTCTGTCTTTGTCTGAGACTGTAGTGCCCCATGGCAGGAGGCCTTATGTTTGTCCTGGATTGGGATCTCTGGATGTGTGCTTTTGGTTACATGCAAAAGCATCAAATATGTCACATAATGCGTGTAACTTACGTTCGTGAGTTTTTCGCTTAATAATAAGGAACGCTCATTAATCAAAAAATTTCAATTCGTTCTCTCAAAGAAAGTTATTTCTTATCACGTCAGTATAGAGTCTGCACTCACAAGCCCTTTTTGCATTTATATTTCTCATTTGTGGCTACATTTTTTGATAACTTTTATGCGTAAGAGCATTAATTTGCTTTTATTTTCGCTTATTTGTTTTTCCAACCAAGAGGAAATGATTATACTTACTTTTGGAAAGTACGAGTTTAGATGCCGCATTTGAACAAATTTAAACTCATTATATGCATTTTAAAAGTTCTCATTTCGTTCTGAATGGAAACGATTAGACATTAGTTTCTGGAAGGAGATCCTGTCCTTATAAGTGCATCAGGACGTATGTATAAGTGGTCATCGTTAGACAGTACAGATTATTTAATTGCCGTAAATATTTTCACCAGCTGTTTTGATACGATCCTCTGATCCAACATTTCTAAGCATTCTCACATGGAGCGAGTTGACATTAAGTTATGCAATTTCGTGACACACAGACACAAATCAAATTCAATTTGCATGCTGACCGAAAACCCTTCAGTAAGTTATCGTAACAAACACAAACAACTATCACTCATTAATGACGAGACAACAAAATATTTATGGACTTCTGGATGAGAGTCTGCGTACTTGCAAAGTTAAGGTGACATAATATAAATTTGTGTGGTTTGCAGGATTTACTAATTACGCCAACATCTCGTTTTAAGGTCATAAAGGGTAATTTTGATGTACCTTGGAGGCCTTGGAGTCAACATTAATGTCAGGTGCATAGTGCAACTTAAAAACTACGATCTTGACACAGAAACAAAGTTGAATGTGAATTTTCTAATACATAACTCTATATGGAAGTGTTGGGGATCCACGATTCCCCAAGATTGGTTTCTGATGCAATTTACATTTATTCACTAACATTTGTTTTGCTACGCTTTTATCAGGTCAAGGTCAACCCTGACTTGAATTAGTTTCACTTCCGGACTACACGCCGCACGTGGCTGACGTGAATAAAGCTCTCTATACGAGCTCTGGTCTTGTTCTCGTATTAGCCTGGGAAGGTCGGTTCTAGCTTCAACTAGGAATCTGGTACCGTTATTTGAGTGGTTTCTTCTTTGTTACGGGCAAACGTAACAGGAAGACGTTTTAAAGCATAACAGTCAACACAGTTACGCCCGAGGAGCGCGAATAAATTTAGCGTAAGCATGCCATCCTGCTAGTTGTTTCCTAACAGTCAGTACCAATTTACTTCGATATAAATTCTTGGAATTTTAAAATCCTCTCCTTCCAAAAGGTTACTGGCTCATCACTGCAACACATGCGTGATGTGCCGGGATTGGGCCCAAGTGTATCCTCCTGATTCACAACGAACCAACCTAAGAGGCCGTCAGTCGAATAACCATCCCTAATATTTGCAGCATGCAAATCAATATTACTCTTATAATATCAGCAGGTCAGGAGCGTTTATTCTACGTGGCAACTTGGTTGTGATTCAAAGAATTCGGGTGTATAAATACATTTAGTTCAATATGTTTACTATCAGAACTTTGTGCACTTTAACTATTTATAACACAAAAAACGTTAAAACATTGGGCAAACTATTGTTTATTGTAACCGTTTTAAAATCTCTACGTGTAACCCACACGATTCGACCTGTTCTCTGTCTTCCTCTTCCCTCCCGCAATCTCGCCTTCCTCAAAGCAAGCCCGTGAGTCTGAGGGCAGCGTCGACCCTCCCCACGTCCATTCCTTTTTTCTCCAGCTCCAAATCTCCCGAAGCACTAACCTCTGAAATTATTAGCGGTAGTCTGGAATACATCCGATTATTCTTGCTGTTCTTTCATCGCATGCCTGGTAGCTATCCTTGATGGTGTGGCTATGTGAGAGGGGCGGATTAATAGTTATCTACCTATTTAGGCCCCCGCTCGCTTGGCACGTTACATGCGTAGGCCCCAGAAATCAAACATCGTTGAGGCTAATGAAGTGCCAACCCAAATTTTGACTGCGCCTAGTAACATGAGCCATCCAATCGCCGCGTGCCCTGGCCGGTGGAGTTAACGTAGTTGCGTCCTGCTCACTGGGTAGAATACCCAAGCCCAAATATGAAGAATAATAGTACAACATAACAGGCTTCATTAACCAATCTCAAGACAAAACCTCACGTCAGGCGCCATTTATCCGAGTCCATCACGCTGGCTGCGCCGCTCATTATATACCCCCCCACAAACGTGCCTTTCTCTGGTTGGCTGCCTACATTCCTCCCAGGCAAATAGAATACTGAGACAGAGAACTGACTGAGGCGGGCGTGTCCAATATGTCTGCGCTCTTTTACATCGCTATTGTAGAATACCCGAGCTCTAATAGGAAAAAGACCGGTACAACAGAACAGGCTTTATTGACCAATCACAAGCCACAGCCACGCGTCAGGCGTCTTCCATCCGAGTCCACCACGCTGGCCACGCCGCTCATTATATACTGCACCTCAGTCGTGTCCTTTTCTGGTTGGCTGCTTATCCTCCTCGCATGCCATTGGAACACACAGAGACACAGGATTGGCTGCGGCCAGGTGGTCCAACATGTCTGCGCCCTGATTCGACGCCACACTGCCTCCCCCTCAGGAGTGAAGGTGTCCTCAGCCTCTGGCTTGGTTCACCGCACTGTTGTTGATATCCAGTGTTGATAAAATATCCAGTTCGACATTCCCCGCACCCCAAATCTGGCAGGATAGTGGCTCAAACGAAAAGTTGACGAGGGACTTTGCTCTTGTAGACTTGCAGGAAAGACTCATCATCCATTGAAGGTCCTTCGCAAATGCAGTCCAGCTGGCTTTCACTGTCCAAGTCGTCGTCGCTGAGTTGCCAATGCCTCTTCAGATGCAGTAGTCCTAATCCCGGGCAATGTCTATGGATCCACTCTATTGGACATCGGATGAACGTCATGACACTTTCAGCTGGAATTTAAGGGTCTTTGCCTCTGTTGTCCATTAAAGAGAAAGGGCTGGGGTCCGATTCGCGTAATTCAAACGCGTCCGCTGCCACAAATGTAGAATACCCGAGCCCTAATAGGAAAAAGACCGGTACAACAGAACAGGAATTTTTGACCAATCACAAGCCACAGCCACGCGTCAAGCGCCTTCCATCCGAGTCCACCACGCTGGCCAAACCGCTCATTATATGCTGCACCTCAGTCGTGTCCTTCTCTGGTTGGCTGCTTATCTTCCTCGCATGCCATTGGAACACACAGAGACACACGATTGGCTGCGGCCAGGTGGCCCAACATGTCTTCGCCCATTTCCGACGCCACAATATACTGTAGAATACTCGAGCCTGAGTAAGAAGACTGGTACAAGCGAGCAGGCTTCATTGACCAATCGCAAGCCAGAACCATACTCGGGCGTCGTTCATCCGAGTCCACCACGCTGATCACACCGCCCTTTTTATGCTGTTCCTCCTTTGTGTCTTTCTCTGGTTGGCTGGCTATCTTCTTCGCAGGCTATTGGATCACTAAGTGATAGAGGATTAACTGAGGCCTGCATGGCCCAACATGTCTGCGCTCTTATACGTCGCCAAACTACAACGGTATTACAATCTTTATAAGCTGACTTGGAAAGACCTTATTTATAAAAAAGTAAAGCTAGTCTTTTGTGTGATGTCGTGCTTTAATGATAGAAATAAGCTTGTATTTACTGGACAAAATTTTGCTTCACACAATAATTTGTCCTTCAGTGATTTATCGGAAAGGCTCAACCAAATCACCCCTTTTCCTGACGTTTACGTATATATGTAGAAATAGCACTTTATAAGAATTTCAATAACCCATTGCAAAGTAGTAGCCACCTTGGGTCATGTTTTTAGTCATCGACACCACTTTGTACGCATTTGTCCTAGTCTATTTTCATTAGCTGTCCACGGAAATGCCTCCGTATAAAGCTGGCTGGTGTTGGTAGTTTCTACGGTATCCAACGTTGTAGACTTTGTAGTAAGTGTTCTTATGTCCACTATCATTGTGAAATCAAAAATTACCATAAAACCAAGCAGTATGTCAAGTCGGAATCTTGATGCCTCGTCCTTTCTCTCCCTCCTTTATTTCCCTCACTAATACTATCATTCTTGACGTAATATAACATCTAGCTACCAAGTTATGTGCATACCAAAATTTTATGGTCAGGCATTGCTAGCGTAATGTTTGTAGCTAATAAGCTCTCATTGGTTTTACGACAATCCACCCTTTCAGTATAGCTATCTAGTTAATATGTGGGCTCCAATTTACGTTTTCAGCTTTTACGGTCTTTGAAAGGCAAGCTTGTAGGCGTTTGTGTGACAGTTTATTTCCAAAGAAACACTTGAGGACTTAATATCACCTTACACCTCCTTGCCAAGTTGATACCATGGTGCCTTCATCTTCGTTCCTCCTGAACTTTGCTCTACCGCTGGCACTGGGCATTTGTCTTCGGTCATCTACAATTTTACACCCCCACTCCGGTATGGGAACCCCTCCCATGTATGGCGACTATGAAGCCCAGCGTCATTGGATGGAGATAACAGTGAACCTTCCCTCCACCGAATGGTACTGCAACACGACGTCCAATGATCTCCAGTACTGGGGGTTGGATTACCCTCCACTCACTGCCTACCACAGTTACCTGCTCGGGCGTATCTCCCGCCTGATTAATCCTGCTTGGACTGAATTGCATACTTCCCGTGGTATTGAGACCCCAGAGCACAAACAATTCATGCGTCTTACCGTTCTTTTCTCTGATGTCTTTTCATTCATGTTGGCCGCGCTCCTCTTTTGTGGTGTAGCAGCGAAACATTTGGCCAGTAAGGTTGAACTGTCAGGTCTTTCTGTTGCTGTACTCATGATGTCTTTTCCAGGACTTATCCTAGTTGACCATGGCCACTTTCAGTACAATTGTGTCAGCCTCGGTTTATTTTTGGCAAGCGTGGTCCTGTTTTCGAGGAATTTTGATGTATGCGGTGGCATAGCGTTTTGCTTGGCAATTTTGTACAAACAAATGGAACTTTACCATTCATTACCGATATTTTTTTTCCTCCTCTCAAAATGCCTTCGTCAATCCCTAACTGCTGGTCTAACTCATCTTTCGATACTGGGGACAGCTGTTTGCTCAACATTCACTCTGGTTCTTTTGCCATTCCTCACTCCGGTTGACCAATTAAAGCAATTAGGCGCACGGGTGTTCCCCGTGAACAGGGGCCTCTTTGAGGACAAGGTTGCGACTTTTTGGTGTGTTTCTTCAGTTCTTTTTAAGTGGAAGGACTTAATTCCGGCCAGTGGAATTTTGATTTACTGTTTTGCAGCGACTCTTTTCGCCTCTCTTCCTGCCTGTATACTCTTATTTAAGAGACCTACCTTACTTCGACTAGTCTTAACTGAAGCCATCGTCTCACTTGCCTTTTTCTTGTTTTCCTATCATGTTCACGAAAAATCAATACTCCTTGTTGCAATTCCGGTACTTTGCCTCCTCCCAGTATTTCCTTTGTCGTCTATTTACTTCCTAATTGTATCGACACTAAGTATGTGGGAGCTATTTCAGAAAGATGATCTTTCTCTTGCCTGCATTGCCCTGGTGTCAATATTCCACGCTATCAGCGCCATATGTTTGGCTACGGACTCGGCTGCGAAAGTTAAAGTGTCTCTCATTCACTTCTGGCCACAAACTGTTTCCTTATTGGGTTTCTTCATCATTTTTATTTCCGAAGCTCTTATTCGACCCCCTGACAGATACCCTTTCCTTTTTCCGCTCATTTTAAGTGCGTATAGCTTTGTACATTTCGTGGGATTTTCCGTCTTTTGGTACACCCAGCTTTTGCAACTTGAGTAGTGCGGCCTCTGCCGCGTCTCTAGTGTTGTTTGTACGGTGAAAAGAACATTGATTTGTACGGTTCTCTTTGTTTTGTAACGGCACTGGTTAGCGTTGGCTTCTAGCATCTCAAACCTTTAGACGTTACCCTCCCAGTGTAATTGAGTCATGTCCGATATCAACTAATTTGTCATGAAAACTAGTTCTAATTTTTGGCTTCCAATGACTTCAGTCGTCAGAGTTAGTCGCAGGTACTATTGAATGTTCTTGTGGTTCCTAGAACCAATTAAGTTTCTTGCTGGGTACTAAACATGAAACCGCATTTACGTGGGTGACGTCAGCTTGGTAAATTCAAGATTTTAATGTATCGCATATACTGGCTGTGCAAAAGCCCGATGTGCAATTTCCATTGGAGAAAATTTTCAGTTGTTGTATACGCGTGATTCCGAGTTGAGTAGTTTTTACGCCATGTTGCGGGTTCTCGAGGCTCGCCGTCGCGTCAATATCGCCATCAACAAGTAGTTTCAGGACCTCAGAAATATTCCCCCACTTGCGTTGGCTCACCTAATTTTAGGTCCCTACTTGTTGTGTAGCTTGCCGAGGGCTCTAAATAGTGCTATTGGTGCGAAATTTTCAGTTATGCGGTAAACCTCTTTCCATTCTCGCCATGCTTCTCTTTGCATAATGCATTTCGTCAGTCAATAACCTTAAGATATCTAATTTGGCCAGCTTCCTTTCGAATTATTGATTGTAGGCTTATCGTATGAAGGGAGGCAGAGTTTTGTTCCCTGATTCTGATTTTAGACCGGTTAGCGTGGTGAACTTGCCGTAGGTATCGATTTTTTCGAATACATTTATGGGTGGCAAGGTAAAAGTCCAACGATCAAGATCAAGTGGGGTTCTAAATGTCGCCATACCCTTCCATGTGTCGTAATATCTGCTTGGGTTCAATGTGTAAAATTCTTAAATGAAAGATCTAACATGAGAGGGAGCTCGAGTCGCAGGGATTCGAGTTTCGAGCTCCGGTTTTAGTCGTGTTTAGGGTCTGGGCTAGTGACACTAACTCGGAGACGATTCAAGGCCGTGGGTGCTTAAAAATCAAGGTCGTATTTCGTGCTACAAGCATTGCATTTAAGTGGAAGCAAGAATTTGAATTGTGGCAAAAGTCGATGTGGGAGTGTGCTACGTTAACCTAATTAGGCCTTTTCACCAAACGACTCCGTCTGATTACACTTTAAAAATATCAATGAATCGGTGCGAATCAGCACAATATTGCACCAATCAAGATGCCACAAAAACCGGCTTTTGGGGGGTCTGGCGTTTCGATCCAAATCCCAATGTTATTTCGAGTGTCTGCTTTTTATTAAATGCATCCTTGGGTTGACTCTTTCCCCATGTTCAAAGCACCACCTACTGTCAAGGACAGTTTATAAGAGAACAAAAATTCGAATATCACTAGATCTAGTGACTTTACGCATTGCTACAATTCATGGGAATGTACGCATTCTAATGGAAATCACATTGAGTCTTTTAGATTTCATCGATGCATATTTAATCAGCCCTTATTTTACCGCTCCGTGGATAAATAAGTTGCTACACTTGTGTGTTTTACGTTGATCTTGGGTGTTGTACTATCTCGTAAGTCTTGCTCCAGGAGGTATCGGCGATTGCTGATATCGAAGGACATTGGATAGTTCAGTGGTTAAATCGCGGATGCTCCTAAAGAAGTGCATCACGCAGTAATCTGCCCCGAGCAACTTGACTTTAAATGAGTCGATAGGTTAGTTATTTTGGAACACAACTGGTGATGTGTTTTGCCTGTTGAGAATATCCTTATTCTCCGGAGTCCTTTTGCCAGGAAATGCTTCGCCCCGCTATCCGAGATCAAATAGTTTTCACCGATTACTCTGCTGCTCACTACGAAATGACAAGCAGCCAATTGTTTTCGGCGTTTATGTGTGGCATGTGCTTATACCTGATCGCAAGCATCCCATTGAGTGGAGTCATTTCATTCTGTGCCGCTCATATTTGTTTAAGTTAGTTACATTAGACTTTAATTGTTGTTAGTCTTTCTTCACTAGTCTTTCCATTCCTCATTAGTTATTTACTACGTCTATGTATTTTTTTTATACTTTAGATGGATAAACTCATAAGAGGATGTCTTTATGGAAGCGTCTTTGGTGATGCGTTCGGCGCACCATTCGAACTTAAGAGAGACATTCCAGTTGACCTTATCCTTGAGTTCTTTGTTAAAAGAATTTCTGGAGGTACATTTAGTTGCACCATACACCCTTCAATGTCTTGACTACTTTGCTTTTTATGTTTCCTACTCGTGTTTAGTTGAACGGAGCATGCTTCGGTACACAGATGACTCGGAAATGGCTTTGTGTATTTGCAAGTCTTTGAGAGACATGAATGGATTCGATCCGCGCCACATGGCTAAGACGTAAGGTCGTGAGATTTTAACCAATTCTATCAGATTCTCTGACGCGTTCGACGTTGCACCTTACTGTCGCTTGTATGGCAATTCCATTGGCTCTCTGTTCGCTCGAATGAAGGCAAACGGCTTTTTGGATCCCTTCAAGGTGTCTAGCGCGCAGTTTTCAGGAAGTGGCTCTTACGGAAATGGTGGAGGCATGCGCATAACCCCAGTTCCCCTGTACGGCCTGCGGCTTAGTGTTGCCGATTTCAATGTAGGTCAATTTTTTCCCCGAAAATTGTGCCTGTTCAGACCGTGCTGTGTGTCAAAGGTTAATGACTATACATGACTTTGAAATTGCTGGGGTGAACTCACTGTTCTAGTGTAGCCGTTTTTAAATTAATTTCAAATCCATAATGAAATTGGCTTGAGGAATCGTTCATTTCGATTTCCGTTGCTTGTGTGACAAAAATCGTAATCTAAATTATCATTTAAGAAGTTTTGACACACCCCTTAGGCTTTGCCTCTTCAAATTTAACGACCACTATCCAACAGTTTGTGTTGGCTTCCTTTAAACACTGGTTAAGCGAATGTTCTGAATCAAAATCAAGGAATTTTTTGGCCAAAATATCGAAGAAGCTAGTTGAACATTGGGAAGAAGCAGTAATTGTATTTTTTTTATCATGCAGGATCAAGATTTGATTCCTCGTCCATATTCCTCGTCCATATTGAAAGAATAAGCCTGTTTTTGGGCGTGCTCCCTATTAAGCTTTACCAAAAGTGGGCACTGTTCCAACCAGAAAGAGGGTTCCGGAAGTTTGAAATCGGTCAGAAGTTTCCAGAAGTTTCAGTCAGTCGGAAGAAAACTTGTGCAAACTGATGTTGCACCTTTCTTAAATAATCATTGGTTTATTTGTTGTTACTGTTGTCCTAATGACCTGTTTTAAGTGAACCAACCACCACTTCCCATCAAGTGGTAGTTCAGTGGATAGGACTACCCTCTGTGGCTCTTGTCCGTGTCTCGGATACCTAAACACGAATTTATGGTTACTCTGTTTTACTAGACTTTGGTGTGCCAAGTAACTGCCATAACGCACACGAATGCGTTGGGCCTGTTGGGGGCGCTGCTGCAGGCTCACGCCATTCGACGTGTGCTTTCCATCGCGGCTGCCGGCGGTAATGCCCAGTCAATTGACGTCGGTCGGCTAGTGGACGACCTCCAAAGTGATCTTGAGGCTGCAGACTTGTCGGCCTTCGCCTTTGGGCGTCCACGAGGCTTTCACAAAGACGCCCTCCAGCAGTACCGCGAAAAACTCGCCACAGTGAAACGATTTGCCCTCCAGGAGACTCGCCCCAGTATTGAAGAAGTAGTTAATCTACTCGGTGAGTTGGGCAATTAGGCTCTGTCAGTGCTGTGTACATTGGTATGCCTTCGGTACTTCCAACTGACTCCGCAATTTGCGGAGTCGTGAGTTCCGCTAATGCAATTGGGAAGAGAAATAAGGTGGGCCAAGGGTTATCTCGAAATCAAAAGGGGTTGTTCGCTTCCCATCTGCATTTCCTGCCTGCTCTCCACAGTATCATTTTCATAATAGGCTTTTAACCCTGGACCCCTTCTTAAATAAAGCAGAAAGTTTGAATTATTTAGCAGTGCAATTGACAGGAAATTATTTATTCCAATTGTTAGGCTTTGACTGAATTCGCAAAAGGCTGCGACTGCACCGTTTTCGAATACTTATAGTTTAGGTTCGATTGTCCAGTTTACAGGAATTAAAAAAAGTTACACCAATTCGAGATTGGTTTTAGCTGACAAACTATGTCGAAATTAATGGGTTTTCGCAGAAACCTGGTTTTTTTTTTTGAAAAATTGATTTTACTGGTAAATGTCTGGTTTGAAGACCGTAAGTGGCAAACAGCAAGCATCTCACTTGTGTAAATGAGTTCTTTGTATCAAAATAGCAATACTTTTTTACTAAATGCAAATAGTTTTGTGGAACGATAGTCCTTCTAGCGAGTGTAGCACTCGCTCGGGCATTTTTTAGGAAAACTCCGCTTTAATTGAACCTGCCTTGCATGGTCTGGCGAGGCCGTTGTTTCAAACATATAGGACTAGACTACGAAGGTGACTAAAGCAATACAAATTCATCTTGTGTGTGCTAGTGACTTGTAAGTACAGCACTAAAACTCGCCCGCATCATCCACAAAACGCTCAGTGACGTGTTACATATCCGTCTACAGCGTCTTCTGCTTTTAGGCAACGGCGAACCAGCTATCGAGGCGATCCCCACAGCCCTTCATGTATTCCTTCAAAGCCTCAAGCCAACGCCAATCATTCCTTTCGAGGTTCGTACGATTTGATATTCTCATAACGTTAACTTACTTCACAACTGCCTTGCTGGTTTGAAATCAGCCAATTAGAACCGGGGTCCATTTTTGGTATTTTTCCAACGCCCTTCTCGTCTACCCGCAAAAGACGGTCTTTTAAGAAGGATTTATTGTCCTCAAGCTCTGTTCTTACTGTTCTAAGGCATTCAATTTTTCGTCCGGTTGTTGTTAGCTCTGTAAGTGACGATGTCGCAGTGCTTGGCAGGTCAATGTGAAGGCCAGTCGTATTAGTTACAGAGTACTAGGTCTCCTAGTTTGAGTGACGCCTTTTGTGAGAGCTGCATAAGGCCTACCACAATCTCCTCGCATTCATGTTTGCTTGAACTGAACCATGCGCTGTCTGCTAGCAGTCTTGTCGTAAATTGCAGTAAGACTTTTGTTTGAATTATTCGACGTTGAATAGTTTGGTGGATTTCCTCTACCGTTGCTGCTGCTAACGAACTCTACAAATGTTTTGGTATAAGTGTTTATGCGGCATCAAAGCGCCCTACCAGTTTCTTGCTCACCCTATGCTAACAGTGACCCCTGCTAGATACTACATAACAAGAAGACGTGCATACTTTAAGGGCTTCAAAACAGGAAGTCCTAGTTATATTTGGAACCAGTGATAGGTTTCATACTTCACTTGTTTGTGTCCAACATCAACTTGGATTACAATCATTCCTCCCCCCACTCTTTCTCCACATTATGTGTCTTCTCAGTTCGAAATCTGTCAAAGTTTGTGGCCAACACTGTGCGTAAGGCAAACAGCCTCAAGCTCTCATTACTTGATCTTCCTTGCAACGTAATAGCGATCAAACTAGGCTCATCATCTAGGCGTCTATTCACGATTAAGTCAGACGGTGAAAAAGGCAAAGGTTTGGTTAAAGTGCCTTCTGTATTGTGACGTGTTGGTTGTAGGTAGTGAATAATCTTTCATACAAATACCTGTGTTCATGTGGGACATGTATTTAGATGTCAGAAATTAGGTGTTTTAATACTGTCCTATTCTTGCCACGAAGCAGTGACTGGATACCTAGAAGAGTGTGCTAAAGTAAGAAAATATACCAGTTATTGACAGCCTTGTAATGAAAGGTCAGACATAGTGGCGGCTCACCAATTTCTGCATGAGCTCTGTTACTGAAGGCTAACTGAATACGCTAGTAATCCGAATTTTGTGGCTAGACACGCACACATTTCGTTTGTGAATGCGTGTGCGATATCGACGTGATAAGCGCACAAATGGAGGCACAACTACAGCTTATTTAGGAGAATTCCACGACGAATTTTTAGTGCGATATCATAACTGATAGTACAGATGCCCTGGCGCTTTTAGAAGTCGTTTCTCATTGTTGGACACCTTTCCGTAGACATTTGCTAATACGTTGAGAAAGGGAATGGGTTGATTGTGCTTAAATTTCAGGTTGTCGTTGCATTGTGTTCGTTTTAAGCACCAAATTCGATACACAATTGAATGGGTTTTTAGAGGGAGGTCCGAATTCCCATTCATGTTCAAGTGTGCCGTTATGAACCTTCTTTGCGCATGTATCTGCACGTTCTTCTTAGTTCTTTGGCTACCGGTTTCGCGTTGACTAAAGTAGCAATGTAGCAACACAGTTAAATTTTAGCATTAGAATACATCTGTCACGTAGACCTGATCTTCCCCCATTGGCAGGTTATAGCAGTCAGCACATCCGCTTACCTTACCGAGACATTTACCTTCTTAACAAAAGAACAAGCACTTGAAGGTTTGAACTATCCCTGATTTGATCCCCAGGGGGTGATTCTTGTCAAACTGCCATAAAATGTATTTATCTTTAGTGATTGTTCACATTTATGTGGTCGTTTTTCTGAATAGACCTGATAAATAACTCAGGATAATATTCTAGCATTCCCATGATGTTAAATTCATGTTTATTCGTGTTCCCATCTGCTTGAGCATCCATGGGCTTTTTAGTCAGACACTGTTGAGTCTTCTAGGTGCACGTCGTTAAGGGGACGTGACGTTTTCAACTACAGCTAAGTCTTCCCAGAACTTTGTTTTCGAAAATAACTTGGCCAGGGACACATACTAATTAGGATCCACCACAGGGGTTTTTTAGGCGCTGTGGTACATCGGTTTGTATAAATCCACTTTTAATTCCTCGCACATTTGACTAAATAGGTCGTCTATAATTAGTTTGTACTAAAATACCTAATATTTTTTACAACATACTAAAAGTCATTTCGTTGCTGCTCTCTCCTGTTGGTTTTGTATTCAGAGTAGCTTAGCGACTTCAGTTTGTGGAATTTTTTTTAACGATTTTTGACGACCAAGTAGAATTGCTTATGGGAGAAATAGGACCCACGTAGTCGTTGCACAATCGGATGGTGTACGGTGAAGGTGTTTGTCCTTTCCATTTCATGTGCCCATCGATCATTTCGCTTAACTTTCACTTAAACAAGCGTTTGTACAAGTCTGCACACTGTCGACACTGAAAATTGACCTGTGGTTGTGAAGGAGCAAGTACATGACAACGTTGTAGCAATCATAATTAATCCTATTAGGGATCACCTTTGAAGCCTGGTTCACACTTGTTGTTGGTTTGCTTTGCTGCATTTTAGTCATTGTTCATGAGGTGCAGTGTCTACGCAACCATGATTGGCTGGGATACTGACACGATTGGGTGCATGGCCTGCGCCATTGCTGGTGCTCTTGTCGGTGCGGAAAAAATAACCGACAGCTCGTCTCCTGGGGATGTGCAGATGCCGGGAACACTTTTCGGCCATGTGGAAGGCCTGGACGTCATCAACGAATACGCCGATTGGCTAATCCAGCGTGTCGGCAGAGAATCTGGTGACTCACGTCAATAAATGCTCACGTTTGTCTACTTTCGCTTCACTTATTGATTTTCACAGTTAACGTCATTCCTTTTACATTCGTCTGTTACTAATTTCAGTCCTAACCTTCTCGCTTCGTCCCTGTTAAATGCTCAAATACATACTATTTACTTGGTACACTAACTAAGATCTCCTTGGTATTTGATAGTCGAAATTCTTCATGCACATTATGCGTCATTTTTTAACATTGGGAAGAACAGAATAATTATTTTATTCGCCCACTAGAGGACTCATTTTTTTGTGCTACGGATTCTGCCATAACCGCTATGAGCGATATTGCCTAGGGACTTCGAAGTGATGTCTGTTTTGATTCGAGTGTTTGGTTTTCCCTTAAAAATATTCGCAAACGCATTGAGGCATAACAGCAAGATTGACCTTTGTCTACGTTGGGCCCTGAGTTCATGATTTTCCATCATCATTTGTTTTCTCTTTTGCCTCAATAAGAGACGCTCTGGGCGGAGGTTCGGCCGAATTTTAAGTGTATTCGCACGTGTATCAAGTTCCAGTAAAGCACTTTAAATGTAATGGTTCAGTCACCTGCGAACCAGAGTCGATATTTAACCGAACGTACTTTCGAATGGTTTGGAGCCTTTTCTACTGATGTTTACATCCTCGTCGCGGATGCCTTCAACTCAATGCACCCACCCGCACGACCGTCGTCAATCGACTGCCGTCCCGTTTTCATGTTTTGGTGGTACTACGTGGCTCAATGTCAAGAGATGCAACACAGTGCTGCTGGTCCAAAGAACGAAGCCTCAATAATCATATAGCCGACCTGATAAATCGCGAATAATAGGGGTTGCAGCGTAGCTTCCACACTGCCGCAAACGTTCACCCCAAAAACGCTGGTGGTGGGACACTATAAACGTCCGAAGATCATCGTCGGGAATGATCAAATTAGAAAAGTAGTGTAAACAACTGATCTAAATGTGGAGAAAATTGGTGCAACAATTGCAGAAAGAGAAAAGGCAGCACAAAGTCATTGAATAACAGCAACATTCTGCTCAAGCTGAATTAAAGCCGCTCCTAGACAAGTTCAACCAACGAGAACCAGGCACGACCTGAAGTCTGAATGAACGTTAAAGGAATTGAGAATCTGGGCAGGGAAATTTTATTTCAGATGCAGATCAGGTGAAAACGCTGTTGCCGTGGTAGATTGGTGCCACTGACTGCGAAGTTTAGCATGCCGCTGTCAATGGAGAGAGCACCAACAAATGCTACCTGGTTGATGATTACTAAAATTTTTTGAATCTATGATATTGAAGTGTGGCTGCAGAGTCGAAGTCCCATTGCAGCAAGAAAACTCGAATTCATTCGGCCCACTTACAGAACAAAGAGCATTGCCAATAACGGATCTACCAATTCTTCAAAGAGCACAGATGACTCGGATTTGTTCAGAATTACTTTTGACAGTACCACATAGGGTAACCGATTGTAGAAGTGAGGACGTTACGCCACAATCCCTATCGGTCGTTGACACCATCCGAACACAAGAACGAGGAAGGCAATATGAGGAAGTGGGGATAATCGTTTACTTGCCACGCATGATGTGTTAATGTGCGCACATCCTGAATAATCTAGTACCCCAATCGATAACCATGACGATCGAATCTGCTTCAGTTTATCACAGAAACTACTAGAAACAACTCGATACATTACACTAGTAGGCAATAGAATCCTTGGAATTCATGATGATTATCTAAGGATGACTAACACACAAATGAACCCGAAAAATGTTGAAACATGTATTGCAGTACAGTTTTTGATAAACCAATGAACGTTGCGCTAGAATTGTGCTAAACATTAGAAAAACTGCGTCGCTGAACTAAAAGTGGCGGCGCTTTAAACCATGACGTTAGACTATAAATATGCTTCGACAGATGAAATGATGACCATCTAGTGCGGTAAAAATACACATAGGCGAGGACACAGGCGTTACTTCGATTGGTGACGTGGGGAAAGAGAAAGAGTTGAGATTAGATGAATTTGCCAATGATAATTAAAACCACCGGAAGCCATGGAAAAAATACATTACCTTTATCAGTCACCTGGCTAATTTAAAGGTCCTTGTAAATGATCTTAAAGTGTGTTTGGGAAGGTTACCACGTTCCGCAAACATTAAAATGGAGGATGAACTCTGCTTAAGAAAGTAGCCACATGTACCATATTAAATGGACAAGCAAAGATAAAGTAATCCAAAATTTATTGAGGAAGTAAAAGAACAATAGTTATCCTAGAAGGTCCAGACTAGATTTGCAAGGTAAGTGGCGTGGGATTATGAACATAGCATACAACAAGCACACTTATCGAAAGCAAGGACATTGAAACTAGCTGCTTTATTTCCTCCGAAGCCTTTGTATTTGCGAAGGTTCCGACTACGCAAAATACAGCGATCCAAGCACACCACTTGCTTTCCCACATCATGCCAACTATACTTAAAACCATTCCCAGAAAGTTCATGATTTCAACCATTTGATCCCCATTAGATCTGGAAATTGTTGATGAGAGTCGATGTATCTTGTTTGGTCTTCGAGGATCTCCACTTATGTAAGACGACATCTCAAATAAGGGAATAGCAACGTGATAAATCAGATTAAAAGGCAACAAGACAAACCAATCAGGTAACAGGTATTTTGAACCAGTTAGCACCTAGCTGATGAAGGCAGAATATTCAAAAGAATAATAATCATATTAGAAAGCAATATACTATTTTGGCATTTTACATTTTTATATTAAGATAAAAAAAGCCACTTATAATATACAACATTTCTAAACTCAATATATTGCATTTCTGTTAGCGCAAATAGTGGCATTAATGTACGAAACATATCAGATAAATGTGATATGATCATTCAGGCTTATAGTGTTGCATAAATAAAGGAGAAAATTAAGCATAATTTCGAACAATGTCAAATATTGCTACGATGTTAAATTTTTTGGCACGCGTAAAGAAACAAAGTTAGAGAATGGAGAAGAGAAAAAAGTTTCTCGAAATTTAGAACATGTGTAGCGAATGTCTTTGACTGTATGCCTTATGCAATTTTGCATTCCACTTTTTGCTTCCCAATTTATAAATCGCCAGTCTTCATTGAATGACCTCAATTATTAAGAATAGAAATTAAAAATGGACTTTACGTAGTTGGTGGTAATAATCCATGATGGACTTTTGATACCTTAAACGTATTCTGAGTGCGTCTATGCAGCTTCTTAGTCTGATAGAGGGCTTCCGTGTGGTTCTTAAATAAATTATTAGGGCAAATGGATTTAATTGCAATCTTTTGACGATTGGTTACCGGGATGACAAATCCAGATGACTTGATGCAAATATAAAAATATTAATAGGTTTTTTGGCAAAAGGTAAACTGATAACAAAGTCTTATCCGTGCTTGCAAAGACTACGCGATCTTGGCATTACTTTAAATAAATGTTGAATTGCTGCTTTCTACGAACAACGAATTCTAATGGGTAATAGTAGCAAGAAAATTTTAAAACTTTTTTATAATTAAAATAGTTTCCGTTTAATAAATTAATTGAAGAAAAATGCTTCACAACGATCTTAAAAAGTGACATGAGTTTGCAGGCTTTAAAAGATGCTCATAAATTTTCAAGAGCTAAATAATAGAAAAAGGCATTTGAACTTGCATAGTGCAAATCTGTGTCAACCTGAATTGAAATTCACAAGAATTTGATTAGACTTAATAACCTATATTCTACTGTTCCATTTTTAGCCCAATTGAACAAATGCAGAGGGTGTGCATTGCTCATACGTTGGTACAGTCCAGCGCTTGCTCACCTTGCAACGATTTCCTTGCATTTGGATCTAACTTTGGCCTAATATATGTCTTTAAATTCGATTCCTTTGTTAGGTGTAGTGCTAGTGACTGTTCACCTACAGAATTGGGTGTCGAGCCATATTTTATTATAAACGTTTGTTGTGGCCATGGCATCCACTGTTTGTTATCCAAAAATGGTTATTTGTGGGTTGGTATCACTGGCAGTGTTGTTGCTATTTCATGGAAGGACATTGAGTTAAGGCATGTTGACATAAAGAAGATTCCAATCCCCCAATCGAAGCCCTTTTGCGAATTGCCGTCCGTAAGTACTTTACGCTGCCTTAACCACTTAGGTTAACTCCCTAGTGTCGTCGAACGAAAGTGATGTCATATACGCAGGATGTAGTGATGGATATGTGTGCATAATCACTGCCTCGAGTCTTTCAATTTCAGATATTTTTAAGTGCCACAATCAGTCGATTTATTCGTTGTCAGTTGCTGGTGCTGGCGAAGTAGCTTAAAACTTTGTTTACTCCTGAGTTAATAGTTTCTTAGTTGCTCCGAAGACGGTGTAGCCTGCTTTTGGGATCTACGAACCTTACGTGGAAATTGTAAACCTTCGCTTGCTTATAATCCTGGAAGTGTTCCAGAACTTCAAAGGAATAAGCTGGGCCCTTGGTTGACGGTAGCCTCTGTTCAGGTTAATGATTCCGATTGGTTCGTGCTTGGTGGTGGCCCCAAGCTTTCACTTTGGAATAAGCGGGCTGGTGCCCACACCGTCGTCCTGGAACCAAAGAGTAGATTATTGCTGTTAACCAATTGGAAACTGTGTTGTTCTTTTTTGACCAGTTCTTATTTTTATATGAAACAGATCATCCTACGCAATGGTACCCGCTTGTCTGCAATTTTTCGGATCCCCACATTGGTCCCAAAATAATTGCTGGCGGCACCTCAGGAAGTCTTCTTGCCTGGGATTACGCTGGAGAACAGCTTTTCGAAACGGCTTGTTCTGAGGATCCCCTAAGTCGCCTGTCGCAAATCCACACGATGCTGGAAATACCCAGTCGTGATGCGGATTTGGTGGGAGCTCTTATAATGGGAGGTTTGGGCCCGTCCATTCATCTTATTTCACGAATTGGCTATCCTCTTAAACATGTGCAATTGACATGTAAATGGTGATTGTTAAGGTAGGTTTACCTGGAATTTTGTGACTTTAAGTAAAATTAACGAACGTTAATCTCTTGCATTTAAAAATTCTAGTAGGAGGTGCTATAATCTTGTATGATTGTTATTTTGGTCACCCAAGTAATTTCACTTTATTTTAGCCATAATTTCTATCCACCGATTAATGCCTAATTTAACATCGGTTGAATTTTTTTACAGCATTGGATACTGACTCTTCATATTGGGGATAGTATTTGTGAAAATAAGACTTTTGGCCATGTATATATGTATGTGTTAACCTATGAGATTTTATTTGGTATGTCGTAGAAGTCAACGCTTCCATTCGCGAAGTTGCCTATAGAATCATCTTTTTGTATATCCTATGACTAATTTCAAGGTTCGCGTCATGCCTTAGCTGGCCTCGTAAATTTTCCACACACATCGCTTCACCTAGTATCAGCGGACACCCGTCTTTTTCGTGTTTTAACTCGCCATTTTTACTTTAGTGTGTAGATTTTGCGGCCGTTTGCATCGGAGACCGTGGATTATTAATCGAAAAATTGTATTTTATTGTACATTCTTATATGCCAATAATTATTCTACCAATAAAGTGTTAGTGCAAAAAGACTTGTATTTGTGGCTTGCTTTGTTTTGTCTATTTAATCAGTTTTAGTGGTCATGGGTCTTGTGACCCACTTAGACCATGGATGTTGGTATGCATGTGGTAATATTTCAGATAGTTCACTATTTATGTACGATGGCTTTTGTAGAGCTATAAATTCAAATGTCCACGTTCATTTCGGGAATCGTTACGGTAGAGTGTTTGCGACGTCTATAACTCTCAAAAACTTTGCGCAATTGGTTTACAGCCAATTTGGAGATTAACAACAAAAATAGGCGTTTTATCGAATTGCCGATCAAGCTCTATCATCTAGGTGTGATTTTGGCGTGGGATAAATTTGTCATCTAGACTTACTCGGTCACTACTCTCTTCCAAGTCATAAAGTGCGCCAGTGTGCATTTAAAACAGATCTACTGCACCTTCCATGTATGTGTTTATCGGTTTTTTTTATTGTTATAGGCTTACAATGAAACCGCGGAAAGTCACTAGTCAGAGAAACACCTTGGACGTTGAAAATAGGGAATTTATAAGGTAAGATTTCGAATGAAGTGCTGGAGGTGTTTGTGCTTTTTGATTATTAAACTCCGTTGTCATGTTGCGATATTGAAGCGCGTTTGCTTTGCAAATCAGTAGTTACACTTTGATGAATGGTTATTGATTCAGACGTGGAGTAAAATGGCATCTTGTGTTATGTTTTCCGACTTTGTTTCTATTTAGAACATCCAACAGACCTGACAGTGGAACTCGAACAGATTCGCAGAATAAAATAAGTGATGAGAAGTCTTCTTTGACAGAGAAACTTCACAACAGGTATTGTGACATTCTGTTATGCAGAAATGGCTTATTCCTGTGGTATGCCGCTTTATTTGCGATTATGTTTTAAAATCACTTATGTTTTAAAATCCTATGATAACTGTTTGGGGATATACCATATTTTTCCCATTGACGCACGATTTTGCGAAGTCACTAACATGACTTGGACTAGAAGCCTTTAAGTATTTGGAGGTTGGTACTGGTCGACATCACGTACTGTTCCAGTGGCCAGCCACACTAGAGATAGGGGCCCCACCCACTAAACAGCGCTTCCTCACGTTCACATTGGCCAGGCGAAAGTTGCAATGTGCACAGACCTACCAGACCACACTAGCCCCGATGATCAATATGCAGACAAGTGCTGTACTCACACACAATTACATCTGCACCCAGACTATCGTCGTCGAAAATGCAGAAGAAAACAGCCGGTAAAAATAAGCACAGGTCCGACAGGGTCTGGTTTTCAGGAGTGCCTGAAGCCCTCGTCAAGCAGTCCCGCGAAAACGCAAATCCCCCCGCCAAAGGACTAGTCAAGGCAGAATCGTTCAGTGGGTGAGCCAGCTTCTTTTAAGTTGATTTTGTGGCTTCATTGTGTTGCTTATAGTTTGTCAGGTTGGAATACAAATGTTGGTTTGTTTGTATCGTTAGGGCTAGACCGTGAAGCAGCTTCCACGTATTCGTCCATGCGCTCATCACTAGGCATGCTTTTCCGTACCCCTCAAATGAGCATGCTCTTATGCTTAGCTTTGTATCGTCACCTACTAAAAAACAGATCCAATGGTCCAACATGACGTTTAGGGGTTATCGAGGTGATGGTTGGTGCCTTCTAACCACAGTGGCTAAGCATGCCTTTCATCTGCTCAGAGCAACATGGTAAAGGGATGTTCGTAGTTCAGTCGTCGGAACACACGCCTAGCAATGAAATGCTCACCCCTCACCCATAACCTGGGTCATGTATGACAACCCCTTATCGGTGGTTCTTCACCAAGTACCCGAGGTCTCTTGTACAAAGGTTTGCTTGTTTCTCTTTAGCATGACCAAGGCCATAGCCCTTGACTGCGAGTTCGTGGGTGTGGGTTTTGAGGGTAAGGAAGACGCCCTGGCGCGTGTTTCCATCGTAAATCAATTTGGGCACGTTCTGCTCGATGAGTACGTGCGACCGAAGGAAAAAATCACGGACTACCGCACAGCGGTTTCCGGCATCACACCCCACCACATGCGACCGGGCGGACCAGCGAAAGACTTCGATACGGTGCACACCAACGTCGCTGCCCTCTGCAAAGGCCGCGTCCTCGTTGGACATGCTGTTCACAACGACCTACGAGTAAGTTCACTCGCTTTTTTAATCTTAACCAACGAAATTAAGGCGTTTTTAATCCAACCGTGTTTTCGTCTTGGAGGACACCCAGTCTTAATCACTGCGAGACGAACTGTTTGAGCTCGTGCAACCACTGCGTGGAACATATGTGGTGCATCAATTACTGCTCGTGGCGCTGCTCTATCGAAAGATAGCCGTTTTAAATCGTGGCTAAGCAATTTGATTCACACCTTATGAGGTCTTTTTGGCTGTTTTTGCATTTCCCAGGTCCTAATGCTGTCGCATCCAAAGATGGATATCCGTGATACTTCTCGCTACAAGCCCTTCAGAAACCTTTTCAACGGCCGCAACCCCTCATTAAAGGCTCTCACCGACCGAGTACTGGGAATAAGCGTGCAAGCCGGTGAACACGACTCGGTGGAAGATGCAAGAGCCACGATGCGCATATACACGGCTGTGAAGCGGATTTGGGAGGCTCAGTTGAAAGCCCGACGAGCCGGCAAACCGGCCAAAGAGATCAGACGTCTCTCCGAACACTTGCGCTTTCCTTCGGCATCAGGAGAGCCAAATGATACCGACGAAAAAAGGCTGAAACCGACACCCTTAGCAAGAATTGCTCTGGATGTGGCATCGGAGTTTGCGGTAAGCATCTACCAATCATGTGGGTTGCGCTACGAGAGATTTGTACGACTAGGTTGTCTACTTTGATTCAGATTAGAGCCCATGTTGCTTTTCAGTCAATCTAATTGAGTGCAGGACCTCGAATATTTGTCGACGTAAACACTCGAAGTAAGAGAGATTGTTGCTGATAATTATGCTCATTATCACCCGGTACGTGATAATCCAGGTTGACGTTTCATGAAGCTCACAAAATAAGTCGCTGCGTGCTTCCTCCTTTGCATTTTTCAAGCCGAGAAGTTACTATAAAATTGTCAGTGGCGCAATACGATGGATCTGTGAGATCTGGACACCACAGTTTGTGATGCAAAAGTTACACTGCCTTTTAGGTCGGAGTACCCCTAGGTGGCTGCTCCTCCGGGACTCAAAAGACAAAGAAGAACGTCAGTTTGACTTTATCCTCCAAGATGCCAGGACCAGTTACCAAAGGTAGGAGGAGGTGTAGCAAACGCCACGAACAAGTCATCGCGAAACGAAGGAGAATGAGGCAAAGGAAGTTCTTGCCTTCCTCAGCTACAGTCACATCCCTATTTTCTTAAGAAATGATGTTTAGACTTGCCACCCAAATGCCTTCTATCTAATGTTGAAGGGCCTTGGCGGAGCTGAAAAAGCTCGAAGTCTTTTTTGTCAAGGTAGTCCGACATTCATAAGTCTCGTCAAGAATCTGGAATGTAGACAAGGCCAGGCCTTTTGTTTGGTGACCGCACGAATTCTCCAGCGATCTCAGAGTCCAACTTTAACGTCACTTTGTTAGTGAAACGGGGTAGCCCACCAATATGACTGAACGCGATAGCAAAAGGCAATGGTGGGGGGAGGGGCTAATTTATGCACAGAGGACGTTACGCGAATCTACCATCGCCCACGTTTACTCCAATCTTTCGGCTTCCAGTGGAGGCACGAGGCGTCTATCCTCACAAGTCGCTTCGCCAGACTTCGTTGGTAGGCGTCAATATTCTCCTTACTCAAAAATATGATATATTGGCCTTTCACATAGTAGAGGACGTTCAAGTAGGATAGCGTGGCGATGACGTCATCCCTCTTCATATTCGTTCGTTCCACTAGCTCACTACAAATAAAAACATTAGCTCTCACTACATTTACAACACAGGAGAAAGCAGATGAGTCAAAATACACCAGGTGACTGCCAAAGTCGAATGCAAATTTCTAGGGTGATCCAGAATATGTTCAAATGTATTGGCTTCTATGACAACCCATTTTAAGTACATAAGGTGAGGCACTAGAGTTTCAGGAGTGATTTTTTTGCATTCAAAACTTAAAGGATGTAAGGTATCCGCAGAAAATAAAAGCAAAAAGCTAGGCTGAATGTGTTTGAATGTAGTGAAGAGGTTTGTCACACTGCAAGCCGCCAATTGACGTGTTCGATCAATCCTAAAATTTCGCATTGATACAAGCATTTTGTGCTAACGTACAAGTCCTCTCGTGGTTTTAGACGGCAATCACAATTTACCTAAGTATCTGTCGCCTATTTCAACGTCAATGCTACGGGCGGAAAGTCAGTGGGTTCAGCGTACGACTGAGGCAAACGCAAAAACATTAATATTAAGGTCCTTACACTTAGAGGTGACGTTTGTGAGAAACATTAGGGGAGAACAAGAGCACAACTTCAAATGGTGAAGTAAGTTGAACGCTTTTGACTCACTTAATACTGATTCCAGACTCCTGGCCGGGCTCTGAGGGTTTGATGGAAAGAAGGATCTCCATGATGGCTGCAGTCCAGTAAGAACGGTATGAAAGTAATCCTAAATCGCTGAGCGGCTTCTCGGGAGATCCCAACTTGCCCTCGATTTTGCTCAACTCGTAGCCTATTTGTTGGGAGAACACAGGCACTTTGGCACATGTCGAAACAAATCGGATTTTTTTAATCATGTCCACAAATTTTAAATCGTCTACTGAGGCCTGTCATGCATACTCACTCAAATTTGTCGAGTAAAGTACTAGGTATTTTGTGTAAAACTTGTGAATTACATTACCAGGCATTTATACAGATGACTTGAATTCATTAGGTAACTCGAAAACGTGTCTCAGAGACAGAAACTCACCAGACCAAAGCTCTTAAGATCGCGATCTTTGAGATACAATAATGAGCGGTGGAAATGTGATATGTACGCAATCAGAAATATCAAAATAATGAATGTGGAAAACTCACTGAATTCTATTAAAAGTTTGCCGTAACCTTTCCTCTGATAAGGAGGAAGTGTCAAAATGCAAGCAACATTGTAATCTTCTGAAGATTCTTTCTCTTTTGAAAAATATCCCACTAGATGGTAGCCGTATACATCAATTTCACAAAGAACATAGAATAAAAAGGGGTCAGTGTCATAATACAAAGTCTTGTGGTCCAGGAATAACTTCGCCAACAAGCAAAGATGCTGAGCATAGACCTAAATATTCGGCACCGCATCTAGCCGACGCACCTTATTTTTTCGTCCGTCAATTTCAAAAAAACTATGTGGGAGCTTTCTGTAGATTTCATTTCCAGGCGGGTGGCGAAATTGACATTTTGTCTGAAGAGTTACCAACGTACATTTATATTACCAAATGCCGCCGCAAACAATTTTCACTCTTAAGGTACTTTAGACAGAATTCACAAATAAAAATGCACGACGAGGATATCAATTCGAAGGGATAGGGAGAGAAGTACCACGGTTTGATTCTATGGCGTCCAATTTGAATCCACTCAATATTTCGTATTCGGGTTACAATATCCTGCTCATGGTGACTTGATATCATGCTTCCCGTTTGGCGTGGTTTCGGCTGTAGCTTGGACTTGTCTAGTTCTTCTTTAGAATCTGTCGATTGTGATAGGACCTCTTCATCGGGAGGTCTCTTTCTTTTTAACTGAAATGTCCCGGTCGAGTTGACACGACCACGAGGAAAACTCTATGAAGGTTATAACCAATTTAACCTAACATTTTCGCCTTCAGCGTTATCATCAACTGTTACAGGAAATTTAGCTGACGGGTCAGCGGAAGACAACAACGACAATGAAGTAGATGAACCATCTTTTGTAAGCTTTTTTAACGGGCATTCAAGTTTCTCAAAATCTATTCTTTCCTCTTCTACCCACTCATCTAAGCGTTTATTGACTAACGGTGATGCTATAAGCGACTAGGAGTGCACTTACAGTCATCAAAATGGACATAGTAGAAGACACCTTCCTCTGACTCTTTAATCCCAAGTATTTCGGCTAGATCTAAGACTGTCAAAATAACAAGATGGCATTACGGTAATATTTTGAGTGCTTTAACTTAACAGGAACGCGGCAACCTTCCAAATTCCTTCGAAAACTCCCGACAACCATATTTCTGCTAAATGCAACCAAGTCACACCACTTCAAATAGTCTAGCAAATCCAAAACAAGTAAAACGCTGACGTCTATGGCATGTCATAAAGTTTTAGGTGCAAAAACGTAGCAATTTTTTGAACGAACTTGTAAATTTTTAATTCTAGTAATTCTGATGTATTCGGAAGTGAATTTTTGTTCTGTAAAATGTTTACCCTTTTTGTAAAAGTGGCATCTGTCACCAAGCCCCTATTTGGCACATTGACCGATTGCAAGTGCTGCAGTACTCATTTGAAAACCCAAATAATTCAGATTTTTTCAATTTACGGTTTTACGAGCCTTTTTTGTAGTGAAATGATATTAATCTGCAATCGTCGTCGATAGTTTTTTGCTCTGGCAAGGCTTCCAGGTATTTTTGTGTGAACAAGTTAGCGTTTAAGCGCATATTAATATTAATTTGCTTTTTTAATAAAACTTTCGTTTTTCCAGGTTTTAAAACACTTTCAAATCACGAACGTCATACCACTGACATGAAATATTAATTTTTACTTAGGCTACTGTTGGATGGATATAACATATTCAGTTGTTGGCCATCACAATTTCAAAAAGACATGTTCATGTAAAAAATCAAATCTGCCTGAGTCAAAAAAACGATATCAGGTTTTATCTCTGGCTCCAATTACTTCCGGCTCACTCCCAGACTCCGGCACCTGACTATTCTTCTGACGACGCTAAATTCTCCGGACGCTTCCTAACTTCTTAACAATGAACATAGTTTGCCAACACCACCCATCGAAAACCGACTCTCCTAACCTCGTCATCTGACTCTCTTTTTTTTATTATGACCGCATCTCTCTCCACGAGCTTGATACCCAAAACTTGTCTATCAGGTTTCTTCGATCCATTGTCCGCTTCGTTTCAGACTTTAAACTAAGTAGTAAAGCCTCAACTATCTGACGTCGACACTCAGGCGCCTGTTTTCCTATCAACCTTTCAGATATCCCGCTGGAAGTGAAGGTTGAATTTGCCGCAGCAAAATCACCTCGAACGTCTTCCGACTAAGAACAAAGGCGCCAAGCGTTCTATTCACCATCCAACATCGACTATTCGCCTCTCTTAATCACCCCTGTTCATCTATTACTAGGGGCTCAAATCGTCCACCCTTCAGAAAATCCTATTTAGAAGAAAAAGTTTGTCCATTCCTTTTGTTAAGGGGAGAGTTGTAGTGAATCGTGTTGATTCACGTCCAATAACCCAGTTGTCGCAGCTTCCAACACACTTCCCCCCTTTTCACGGCGTGCCCGTCAGTCACGTGAGGCCACTATTTCTTAAACCCCTCTTCATGTACCACCACCACCCGCTTTACTCATGTGACATCACAGACGCCTGTCTATTTTTACATGTCCACTCGCCTTATAAGTACACGACACAACTTCGCTGATCTGTCTAGTAAACGGTCGTGCCCGCCATCTCTGGACTTATTTTCTTCCTGGGTAACTTCTTGCAGTAAAGGGACTCATCAAGCCACATTTCATTACTTTTTCGGAGATCGTCAATGCGCTTATGTCACATAACAAACTCACCCACAAAGTCGAGCATTGTTTATTTGTCCAAACATTTACTAATACCTTGCATTTGACAAACTTTTCTCAGTCAAACCAAAATCTATACCCATCGGAGGGTTTAGTGTAATTCCCCCTTAGACAGAACTCTCTCAGTTCCATAAACACTTAGACCTTATGCTAATTACCGAGCTCTTAGTAATGTCTTAATCCCTGGTCGGCACTCCATTTCTTTTATTTCAGATTTCGCTTTGTGCTTTGACAGTGAAAGTCTAGGTGTATAATTTGATACCTCGGGCTCCAGAAAAAGTACACTTCATATTTTCGAAAACGCACCCATCCCTTGCAAAGGCTTATTGCCACAGTTGCTGACATTCTCGACTTCATCCTTGGTTAAATCAGTGATATTCTAAACTTCACCAAGGACAACGATAAAGATCTGTCGCCTTTAAAGCAGTTGTTTTGCCATCTAAAGCCTAAGATATTACCACCCATCGTTCAAGCGCGCTTCCGGCATTTGCATACTTGAACTGTATGGACATCACATTGATTAACTTGACATCATCCCTCATGGCAGAACAACTCTGTAGCTTGCGTTTTTTCCCGGTTTGGTCAAGAACCCTATGGTTTTTATTACAAAAGAAGACGTCACCAAGGCCTCTGGAAGGCATCGCAAGTAACCTAGAATACATTTTAGCGTGATGCAAAATTATTCCCCCCAAAGCGGTAACTGAAACCTGTTTAAGCACAAAGATGCTTCCCAGAATACATTTGGCTCAGCCCTCTTACAGAAGCCCGATGATTGTGCGGCGATTAACGAGCAAGCATTATTACAGTGAATCCAATCCAGCACTGTGAACTCACACCACGGAGCAATGTTCGTTTCGAGACCGAATACAACGCGTTCCCCTTTAACCTGACCACTTGCTACGGTTGCGTGACTTCCTATTACAGACGCAATAAGCAGCTGCGAATTCGTCATTTCAGTCTCATTTCATCCCTCAGTACTTCGAGCTGTGTCTTGAATTAATTTATGTTTCAACCATAAATACTCCAGTAATCCGCTTCTACCACAACGTTTAACAGTTACATAAAAAGCAAATGAGAGTTGGAGAATTCTGACTCTGTCAAAACTAATAACTGACCAGGTATCTACTACACTACAAAAATGTATTTTAATGTGCCTACAAGTTGAACTTTCTCTTGTGTTCGTGCCCATTCTGGAAAGAAAACCTTTATACCCTTCGAGCAGATGAAAGCACTTGTTTAATAAAAAGATACTAAAAAAATGGGCCAGTTAAAGGAGATGGAGACTTGATGGTTTGTTGGATCACCAGTGAGGCCGTTAATGGTTAATAAGAACGTGAATATATGGACGCGGAAATGTGTGAAGGTGACTGGGACTGTAGTTGGCACCCGAACATCTGAAAGACTGATCGTGAACATGGTAACGTGTGACTACTAACAGCCAGCAAAGGATGAGAGAATAATTTTGTGTTGCCTGAGATTGAGACTAACCAGCATGGGGAATTTAGTGGTGTTTTTACTATTAGTGCAGTCAACTTGTACATCTCATTGACTAACTGTGAACGGTTTACGCAAACTCATCTCCATTATTGAGTTTCTCGATTCATACATTAATGCCGGAGTAAGCCAGAACGTGAATAACCTGAAACACTTGGTAGCCTAAATAAGTAGTTAAAGAAAGGGTGCAGCACGCCAATTACATTGACTCTCAGGCTTTTATCTGCACAGGTTTTTAGTTCAGTGCATTAAAATAGAATGCAACATTCTGCTTCCTATTCGAAATTTGGATTCCAAATGGAACAAATAATTCAAGATATTTAATTTAAGTGTTAGAATTAGTCAATTCCAAAGGAATTGAGTTAAAGCTGAAGCCCATAAAATCATGGTGGAAGGATATAAGCAATTAGGCATTGCGCAATCGTCTTGGTTTGCGAATAATCCATTCCTCCGAAGGCACATTTAGAGTCTTCCAATTAAAACAATGCCAACGTTAAAGCATTTTTCAAGCAGTAATTGCGTAGTGGATCAAATCGTGTGCATGATTCGTTAAATAGCATAAATTTTACTACCATTTATTTGTGGGGGAGATGAGAGCACGAATGACTTCCAAAAAGCTAATTATACACTTTTTCAGTTGGATGTATGAATAGTTGTGGAGATCTAGCTATGTTAGGGATTCAACATCACTAAGGCTATAATTGTGAAGATTTGCACACATTTTAAAGTTCTCATAATCAACCGCTATTTATGCACACTATAGCACTTACACTTCCCTCCTTCTTCCTATTGGCCCATTCACCTACAAGTGCACTCAAGACTGAGACAGGAAAGACCGTCTGGTATTAGCGTGGGTAGGTAGTGACCCATACAGGTTTTGTCCGAGTGCTCGTGTGGGAGGCTGATCAAGTTCTAACAAAGGGGGTTCGATTACCTACGCTCGGGTTTTGCACCTGTGGCCCGGGGACCGTAACAGCCTGCTTTAAATTGACAGGGGTGGCCATGACAACTGTGGCTGAATACCTCTACTCCAATTTTTTTCCGCTCAAATGACCATGCTCATCTGAAACGCATCTATCCCGGAAGGCAACTCAAACAAGGTATTTATTCACTGACAGCAATTTCACTATTTGCAAGTGCTACATTACAAATCAAACAGTTTGCGTATTAAAGCCATAAGTTAAAAGGCTTCTAGTCATCTTGGAATTGCAAATTTAATCTGAGGGAGGAGGATATTTATTTTGATGCGAGAATCATGTTGCTTAAACACCTCCAATGAAATCAGCAGAGAGAACCTAAAGCCTCTAGTGTCCCACCACCCGGGGCCATCATCCAGAGAATTGTTGTTTTTACGAAGCGAATACGTTACCCACAAACAAACATTTAATTCCCGATAAGCTTCACAAAGTATCCTTTGATCCATATATTAAACATTTCCAGACTCTGACAATTCTAGCATAAAACATGTCAAGTGCATTCTACGGCCGACAGAACCAAACTACGCCAAATGTCCACATTTCGCTTCGCATTCTTCCATAGTGAGGAAATTGTTCGCGTTGCCTCTGCATCCACCGTATATAAACTGATCACAGCGCCCTGTTTCCGTGTCGTAGTAGTAGCGTATATTGTTTCCTCGGCAAGGACCGGGTCTTTTTCGTAGTTTACAGACGTCCTCTAGATATTAGAAAGACACAAGGCTGTAGAATGCTAGCATCTTCAAAGCTTTGAGATATAGAGCACACACGTGGTAGTAATTAATTTTGAAATAACCCTTTTAAATAGACGTTGCATGATGCATAACACTTACATATGCACGGTTGATTTTACTCTGTGGAAGCCTCAAACAAACTATACTCAAATTGCGCTTGCAAGAAAACGAAACGTCGTTGCTAGAGTAAGCTAAATCAAAGGAGTTCCATGCGTTCATCTTATAATCCTATCGCAAAATGTTCAATTCACTAGATTATCCACCTGGTCAGAATTTTACAAAAGCGTCAGGTCATCAAAGCAAACCGACAAATTGAAATACTACAATTTGACAACGTACACAGCAGGCATAACAATGTTAAAGTAGCAGCGTAAAACCTGAAGAACAAGAAACACTAAAAATGGACGCAAAAAAACATGAAACCAAACGAAAGTAGAACAATAAGCAGGTGAAAAAAAAATATTCGAAGAAGAACGACCATAAGCAATGCAAAATACGTCAGTCTACATGCACGGCCGGACGAACACAATAAAGAACCAGTTCAAATTTATGTATATGCTAATACGGGGACGCCAAAGT